CCCGCAAATTATTGCCTTGAATCGAACCCGACTTGAACCCGAGAATGACCCCTCTTGAAAATGACCTAATCTGATTATAACCCGCAAATTATTTACTTAAACCAAACCCGACTCAAACCCGAGAATGACCCGACCCGATTCTAACCCGCAAATTATTGACTTGAACCGAACCCGAGAATTACACTAACCCGTGAAAACCCGAATTAAACCCGACCTATTGTTCACTCGACCCGAATGTAACCCGATCAGTTATTAACCGGACCTAAACCCGACCCAAACTCGATAAGAAGTATGACCCGACGTGATCAAACTCAAGCATGAACCAACCCAAACTCGACCCGCATAAATTGTGGAATTAATTCGAATTGACCCGACCCAAGTTGACCCGACCCACTCTTACCGACCCAAACCCGACCCGTTTACCCGAGTTGACACCTCTACTCGGAACCTCCAAAGTTTCTCAAAAAGCGTGGATATTAGTTTTCAATTTTCGAATTTTTTTGACTTTTTTTTTCCCGGAAATAAAAATTGCCGAAATGTTTACCGTGGTCCCTAATACCCCTCCGGGAGTCCAATAGGATTGGTGGAACCAGCCAATTTGCCTTTAAACGGCCAATTTAATTACCGGTTTACAACTTGCACCGATTTCATTAACTTAATCTTACCACGAACATTTATGAATAAATATAATGATCATATACGGATCCAAACGACATTATATGACCTCGAGATGTATCCCCTAAAATCTTAATGCTTTTCGATACCAAGCCCCGAAACATTCGAAATTTCTCAAAAAGCGTGGATATTAGCCTTCATTTTTGAAATTTTGACTTTATTTTCGCTCGGAAATAAAAATTGCCGAAATGTTTACCATGGCCCTAATACCGTCCGGGAGTCCTATTGGGTGGGTGGAACCATCCAATTTTCCTTTAAACGAACAATTTACTGGTTTACAACTTGCACCGATTTCATTAACTTAAGCCTACCACGAACATTTATGACAACAAATAATGATCATATATGGTTCCTAACAGCATTATATGACCCCGAGATGTATCTCTTAAAATTTCAAGACTTTTTGACACCGGGACCGAAACTTTCAAAATTTCTCAAAAAAACATGGATATTAGTCTTCAATTTTGGAATTTTTTTAACTTTTTACTAGCTGTGTGATACTTGTTTCGCTGACGTATGGGTTACTATTGTGCTTCTATATGAGGTAGAACAATTTGCTGGTGTTCCTATAGGAATTCAGGAGAGTAATGACTAATGAATTATTGATTCTTCTCAGCTCTCAAATTGCTCATTCTCTTGGTATATGACCTGCTGTTTTTGAGTCTTGAGGTGTTGAATGACCTTGGGTATCTCCTGCTGTTTAAACAAGAATAAAGATTTCATTGGAAGTTGTTTCTTGTTATTGGAGTCTGAGATTTTGAGTAAAGTTACTTCTTTTTATTAATTTTTGTTCACAATGAATTCAGGGATTGTTTAAGCTTTCCTTCTATCCATGCAATTGTAATGGTCATGAAGTAGTATATGCTATCATAAACAGACTGCTTTCTCTTCAGGTTGTGGCAAACATACCTTTCAACATCAGTAAAGATGTGGTGAAGCAGCTTCTTCCTATGGGTGACATATTTTCAGAAGTTGTTCTATTACTTCAGGTTATTATGTTTTCTTTGTTATTAGCTCTCTCTTTTTTTTTTTTTTTTTCTTTTCATTTTTGCTTATCCAAACTTTCTGAACATCTTAAAATACCTAGTTTTGCGCCTTTCCACCAGTTTTCAACTTTTTGATAGATAGTACTATCTTTTATCAATCACATCTTTATGAAGGCTTGTTTTTACGAAGTATATATCTAATCATGAACTTTACTCCATGTCTTTTTCAGGATGAGACAGCTATACAGTTGGTGGAACCATCTTCAAGATCATCAGAGTACAGGCCTATAAACATATTTGTGAAATTCTATTCAGGTACAGGGCTCAAATTCATGTTTGTCATGTATATGTGACAATATGTCGACAGTCACACAGGTGGATTAAAAAATGGCTATCACTGCAGATAGAACAAGTTGGCTCTTGATTAATTCTCCTTTATCACATTTCATGTTGAAGCATGTCTTGTTGATGGCAGTGATTCCTTGTCTGGGCATCATCTGGTGTAATGGAGATAATTAGATTAGCCCTTAGATGGTTAATATTCAATTATAAGCAACTATGCTCAAAATTTGGAATCATGGATATCATATTGTTTGTGAACTTGGATTTGTGTGTAATAAGCAACGATTGTTATTCAGTGTGGAATGAAAACGTAATTATTATGCCATGCAAAACTGAACTATTGTCATTTTTTTCTGTCCTAGATCCAGAGTACAAATTTCAAGTTCCAAGGGCAAACTTTTTCCCTCAACCCAAGGTAAGCTTGAACAAATGAATGCTGAGTAACTTTGTATTTCTTCACTGGGAGAAAATTTAGCTTCTTTGTTTCAGGCTAATATAGAGATTATGTTTTCCTGCAGGTCGACGGTGCTGTTGTTTCCTTCAAACTCAAGCAACCGTCAGACTATCCCTCTGTTCCATCAGTCAAAAGCTTCTTCTCATTGGTTTTTTCTTCATCCTTTATGCTCTGAGTTATTTTTACTTTTGAATTTTGGCTTTTGGTCTGATAAATTTGCAATTCAATAATTAAACCTGCCTGGGTCTCAGATAAATTCTGCATTCAACGGCAAACGCAAGATGTTGAGAAATACACTTCAACATATATGCACACCTTCAGAGATTGAAGAAACTTTAAGAACTGTGGGTCTTCCAGCTACAGTAAGTAATACTTGCACAGAATTCTCTTTTAGTCAGCACCTATTTATTAAATGGAAAATTCATTCTAATGCTTTCTCCAAAATTATGTTTGAGCAGTCAAGACCAGAGGAGCTAACGTTGGATGATTTTGTAAAACTGCACAACTCCCTTGTGAATACCTGACAAGTTCACGCTTTTACAGTTATAACAAGCAGTCAAGCATAGCGCGTTAGTTATTGAAATCTTCTGAAAATAGTCAAAATCTGTTGTACAAAGTAGTGATCAGACTTGAATTCTACATAGGAAAAATGTTGGGCTGCTACAGGTTGAACACTTGAAATGGAGGGTATAATCTGGTACTGTAATAATCTGCAAGTCCTGAGTAAGTTCAAATATAGGAGCTCAAGCATAAAGTGTAGTAAAATTTGGTGTATGCCTAATCAATTGTATATTTTATTTGTTGATTCCTACATTTTGTAAGCTACAATTATCAGCAATCAATTGATTACAGTCTATTACATGTACTTGAAAGTCAAAACCTTGCAAACATTATTTTACCCTTGATTTTACAATGTACTTCATGGTATTGTAGCTAGTTTCTTCGAAACGACTTCAAATCAATTGTGGTCTGTTATTTACGTATTGTTAATAACCCTTTTTATTTGTAGGCATAATAAATTAAAGAAATTTTCCAAACCAAATACTTGAACAAACAATGGAGGAAGAATCACACTAATAATCAAAGTCTTCCAAGAAAATTGTGATACAAGCTCTAATTTACACTTATTTGCTCCAAAAATGCAATATTTTGTCACCAAAATTAAATTACAATTAAATATAATCCTTAAACTAAAAATAAGTTTAGCCATGAAATTGATAAACAAGGTCTAAATTCCTCAACCGAATAGCAACAGGATCAACATCACCAGCAACTTCAACTATTTCTCTCTCCTCCAAATGCCGCCTTTCTACGGCGGCAATAGACGAAGGCGACAGCGGTCGCTTCGGCCGCTTATTCTGAATGTAAAGCATGTCTCTTAGTTTCTCCTCCATTCTTTCCATCGATGAATCCTTCGAGTTCTGCTCATCGTCGCCGTCGTCGGCGGCAACCATCGGCTCATCGCCGGCGACGGCGGCGGAGGAGACGGAATTGTCGGCGATATTGTTGCTGTAAACATTGAGGAAGGAGGAGAGAGAAAGTTGAGCGGAGGAGAGAGAAGAGAAGATGAGGCGGTGGTGATCGGGGTCGGAGGTTGCCGGAAGTTGCTTCGCCATTAAAGTAGCTTGTTCGAGTGATTGTATTAGCTCTGATAGTTGTTGTTGCTGTGATTGCTGTAAATCTGTAACCATGTTGTTGCTGCTGCTGCTGTTCTCCATTGTTGCAGGAGTTCTGATTATGTGAGGAAGAAGATGATGGTATTGAAGAACAATTGTGTTTTTTTCACCTTAATTTGGAGAGTTTTGGAAAGATCTTTGAATGTTTTGGGATTTTGGAGTCTTGGACCATGGGGATTTGGTGGAGTCATACAGTGATTAGGTTACTGGTTACTCGCTCCGTTATACGGAGTTGTATAAGTGTAACAGTTTGACCAACAAAGATTAATATGTTTATGTGTATATTACAGAGTACTAAAAAATCGGTATTAAAAGTTTAAGTCAATGTCAAGAGATGAATAATCCAAAAGTCAATCTATGATTTCGCTTGTTTTGAGAGGGGGAAAATTGCTATGTTGTAAATTTTGCACTTGCAAACTTAAGTAAAAACACTTCCTGCCTAATGTATCTGTATCTTAGGGCTAATACGAACAAGTGATGTACAGCGGAATTGTTTAACGCACTCTGTATAAGTGTTTAACTAATCAACTCATATTTTCCAAATGTGCGAGTGCAACTATGTGATAACATTTTAATCCTGTGCAAAGAGATAATTAAAAACATCAAAATGAAATATTTAAATCACCAAATAAGAACATCATTTCGACAAGCTTAAATGATATGATTATGATTTAACTGTAGTTCGGAATTCAGATCAACGATCTAAACATCTTTACCTGTAGAGAGTACCCAACAGAGGGTATAAGAAACTGGAATTCAACTTTCATAAAAACCTTGCAACAGTTGCAAGTCTTGCAACCAAGCCCAGATATCTTTTTTATCCAAAAAAACAAAACACAAACACAAACACACATATTTCTAATAGAAGAAATAAAAAAACCATTGCATCATAGAAAATGAAAGCAATACTGGGAAGCAATTATTCAAAGTTTGCAGCCAAACTTCCAACAACAGAGAAAAAAAACATCAAATTGTCTGACAAGGGCTTTTCAGCCAGCAGTTTCATCAAGGTTTGACAAACATCCAAGTCAATTTTATTGAAAATAATTATTAAGGGGAAGAACTGACGGCTTGAATTTAACCTCCAAGCTTGCCATCATCCTCTCCATGGCCAGGCGCCGGTGGTGCCACGCTCGATGAAGGTAGGTAAGTAGGAGCAGGAGGCCATGGCGGTACAATGAGCATCTGAGCTGTGTTTGCTGGAGGCACTGAAGCTTGAGGCAGCTGGGGCATGTTAGGCACATGAGGCACAAACGGCACTGAAGTCACCAGTGCCAATGGCGGTGCTGGGATTTCGTAAGCTCTAGCTCTGTTCAGTTGATCCTGACGAGGATTCTGCAGAATACCTTGCTCATGGGCGAATGCCTGTCCAGGATTGGCATAGATGTTTTGGCCCATCAGTTGGTTGCCAGCATTCAGATCAATAATACGCATTGGAATAGGGGGGTAGTCCGGGTTATTCTGCCTTGCTTGATATTCCTACAACATTGAACCACACACCAACAGCAATTAAGTTTTCAAGTAAAATTTATTCTGAAAAACAAAGAGTCTGAAGGAGCAGCAGGCTTGCAAATTTTCAGCCATTTCTACAACATGCATAGACAAATTGACACCCATATTACAACAGAAACAAACCTGCAGTTTGTCAGTGACTTCATCCAGAGTGAGCCCAGGAACGTGCATGCGATTAAGAACTTCTAATGGATCAGCATCTGGATTGAAAGTCAAAGTAAAAACATTAAAACATAATCATATAAAAAAACATTGCATCATTAAAAATTCTTATTTAGATTCTTACCATAAACTCCCAAATTGTGAACAATTCCGAGAAAAATATTCTCTATATATGGTGTCCAAGTGAATGAAGACGAGCCTTCAAATTTTCTCTTTGCTACATGGATCTTCCCAAAATCATTAATAGTCACACCTGATCTTGGGGTCTAAGGGATTGACTGAAAAGTTCTGCTTCCTTTACAAAAGCATGCTGCCACAAGGTTGCAGCACTCATCGAGTCCAGTGGCTTCTTATAACAGAACATTGCTCCATTCCAAAGAAATTCCTCCTTAGCAGATGGTTGATCAGTATCAACAAGCACTAAAGAAAGTGCAACAATTAAGTGAGAAAAGATTTTGACATACACATTGAAAAGAAGTGAAACTGGCACTTACTGACAACAGCCATATTATATTTGCTCTTTAGGATGTCTAAAACCTCAAGAGTGCACATATCGGGCAATTCGGTGGGCATCAACACCAAGTCAACCCTCCGCTTCTTCTTTTTCAACAACTCCAGAGCATCTGCTCCTTGGAAAGCTGTGACAACTAGTGATGCAGCCAAAGAAGGCAACTACTCAGTAAATGCCAATAAAGAGGTGATGGTAATATATGCAAGATTCTATGGAGGAAAGAATGATAACAACCACAATCTCCAAAACTTAATGTACATTCACTTGAATTTAGGAGTCTCAAATCAGAACACATTTTGATCATTTACAGCCCATGTAAAAAAACCCCAATTATTTTCTTTAAGTTTGTTCTAAATCAGTTTTTTAAATTTCCACTAACTATTTCTTATTCCTTATTTTACCAGTTTTTTTTACACTTTATATGGTCCAACAACCCCACAAAATGAGACCCATTAAACCTTTCCCTTCCTAAAAGAACCCACAAAGGGCATATGAATGGTCATTTTCCTATTCTCCTTGATTATTGGAGTTGTAGTAACCAAGTAGAACTCAAAAAAACAGAGGAAGTAGTAAAAATTACAAAGCAATTTTTTTCAAAGAATACTTTTCAAGAGAATTTCCAACACAATCAATCAATCCAAGCCTAAATCCCAGAATTTCCAACACACATCTGTTAAAGCAACATCAACTTATTATTTGACAGTCAGCTTAGGTTCACTTTCATGAGAAAAATCAAATGCAAGATTTAGGCAAAAAATAACAAAGCAAGCACTTTTGGGTCCTATAAAATGATACGTAGGTAGTATAAAAATCCCAGATGACTAGTGATAGGAAGAACAATGCAAGCTTTATATATTTTTAGGCCATATCACAACATGTAAACCCACAATCCTGCTATACCACAAAGCAAAGAGTTATGCTTCCAGCTAGGCACTACCAGCAGCTGCATAACTGACATCTCATCTACCAGGAGTAGTTCAAAGTTAAGAGGAAAATAGAATCCTAGCTTCAGGCAGAATTCATCCATTATGAGTTGTTAGGTACATAAAATGAGAGTTTGGAGATTAGATGGGGTGATGTTATATTAATATAATTGAGAGAGAGAGAGAGAGAGAGAGAGAGAGAGAGAGAGAGAGAGAGAGAGAGAGAGAGAGAGAGAGAGAGAGAGAGAGAGAGAGATACACATGTTCCATTTCATAAGCATAATCTATAAGTTTGGTATGTTAAAAAGTGGTAATGAGAATAAATAGCAATTGTACATAATCTATAAGTTCACAACCTCTTCTTCCAATTCACCAGTGGCTAAATGGATCCATACTTCCAATTCAATTCCCATTCACCTGATACCTATCCTCCTCCCTCCAATGGTAAAAGAATGGTGGGAATAGCCCCTTCCTATTCCTAAATCTTATCTCACATTTTATTCCCAACACCCAAAACAATTTAATCAGGATCTCAATCCCACCATCAAATAAACATGCCAAACACCCCCTTGTTTCTACTAGTATTAAGCCATAAACCCAGAAAACAGTGTAATAAAACTTTTTTATTTAAAATATATAAATTAATAACACTATCATTGTTCTTTTCAAAATAATACTACTATTTCAATGATGCGGATATACTTTTTTTATAAAAAATTGAATCATAGAATAATTTATGCTTAATTTACATGTACCACCTTATTAATTGGAAAATGTCCTAAACATTTTTTTTTTTTTCATCAAATTTACTAAACAATTTTGATTTAATTTTTTTTTTTCCAAATATACTACCTCCAGTTTTTTAGTTGACACGTTTAAACTTTAGCAATATTCACACGCATTCCTTTGGCCGTGTTTTGTAATTTATACGTAGCAAAAAAAAATTGTCATGTTAGATCTTGTTATATTCATCATGATATATATTTTCAAAATATCAAATTTTTAAAATTTTTGCTTATCGGTAATTAAAAATATTAATGGTTCAATTTGTGTATTGGCAAACGAGACTAAAGAAACGTATCAACTAAAAAGAAACGGAGGTAGTAATAAATATCAATTATCCATTCCGTACTAGACTTTACGTTTGTCTTTAATGGTCAACTTTTAAAATCTTTGACTACAAAAACACAATATTATAAACATTAAAAACAAATCACGCGAAATCGTGTTAAATTCGTTTTAATAAATTTATTCAAAATATCTTTCAAAAAAATTTTACTCAAATTTAATAATTATATCTAGGTTAAAGATGTGTATTGGTGACCGTAAAACTCAAAACGAAAAAATAAAAAGCAATAGAGCAAGTATCTATGTATTTCCTATCTTCAAAATTGTGACATAAACCCATATGACGCTCTCAAAGCTCTTAAAAACACCTCAATCCATTATGAGAGCTAAAAACCAATTTGGATTGTTAGATCTCGGAGATCGGACGCTCAAGATGCCACCCGCAACATTATGATTTTATTTGTAAATTTAAAACAATCCAAATTGATAGTTTTCTTAACTTTTGACACGATCGATTTACTTTTAAATCGATTTGATTTTCTCATACTTTTAAATCAAATATACAGCAACTTGTAAAGCAATATTAAAACGCAGGGATAAAAAAATAAATATAAAAAACAAAAAAACAGCACAAAGATGCTTCTGAAAACCAATTCATTAATTTATGGATTAATATATGATTTTTATACGCCGATGTCAAATGTGACAAATCATCGGGATATACACAGAGGTATTCATGAGAATAATCTTATCAACATCAAGAAACAAATACTCATATATAAGTGAATACGAAAACAATAGATTAATTTGCAAGATTCAGTACAAACCTCTGTAATTCGAATTAACCAAGAGGGCCAATGTATTTTGTGAGGATCTAGGATCAGGATCCACGAGCATGATGCAGATGTCTGGGCAACGTTCAGGATCCATGCTGCAAAAAAACACTATGAGAAAGGAGAGGATGCAGAAATAGAGGCAGAGGAAAGAAAATGTGATGTTTATATTGAGAGATGAGGAAGTGAATAGGGTTTATATAGATGAATAAACCTTATAAATGTAGGGTTAGGAGTCTTAAAAATGACTTAAGTGTGCCGTAATATCTTTGGTATAAGTAACGTTCCCAATTGAAACGATAGGAAGCTTCTAGGCTGTTATAAAAAAAAAAAAGTCATTGATTGAAGAAATCTACCATATAAGTCAAAGTAGGATTAATTTCCAAAAAAGATACAAACCACAACAGATTTTCAGTTCCGTTACACCTAAACAAAAACAATGCGACAAACGGCGTTTAAACAAGGCAGAAACAGACTTGTCCTAGTTCCAAAGAAAAACGTGACAAAATGCAGTGAAGGTAAAATTTGATTAGACAAGCCCTTACACATGGCAAGTACCCTTCCTTGGACAAAGTATCGGTTTCCAAAAGACGTACTCATGTATTATAGTCACAGTTGAAGAGCTCAAATTATAACCACGAATTCTCACCAATATGCAAGAAAAAACAGTCATGTGGGGGGGTCTTGCTAAAATCATTTCAATATGTAGTTTTCAAAAAGTTACTTATAAATTGTAATATGGAAATTAAGAAATAGACAATTAAAGAAGCGCATTAAGAAGTATGGAAAAAACAAATGGTAGAGCAAAAGAATTAAGGGAGTACATCAATTAGTAAAAAGTTATCTACTTGTAAGAGGGCTATTTTGTTCCAAGGTCCTTAGTTGTATTTAAAAAACATTTTTTGGGGGGTAGAAGCCCCTCCGTCTCTCTTGGTTAATGCATAAAAGTTAACAAGCTAAGTCTAGGATTTTTCAGTCCAAACCTGTCAGCCACCCTCTTTCCACATATATTGTGGAAGAGAAACATCCCTTAAGTGTAAATTCTTGTCTTTCTTCTTTTCAATTTGTCATTTCTAGGGCAAAGGTGAAAGATACCAGGTCGCCTCTACAGAGTTTGGGACATTCAAAACCACAAATCGATATGAGGAACCTGATACATAGTGCCACAACACATGGTATAGGAGATAAGAGAGTTGGAACTTGCCCTGTTTCATGTTCAAAATAGAATGGAGTAGAAGAACAACACAAACAAGAAGCTCATGCTGTAAAGCAAGGATAGGATATGAAATGTGAAGCTCTCATTGTTAACTTGTTAACCTACCACATGCACAGCACAAGCCCATAATCAATGAAAACTATCAACTTTCCACAATTGATTAATGCTATTAATTCACAAAATAACTGTTATGACAAGAGATTTACCTTCCCAGGAGGGACAGATTGTAAAACATGATACTCTTGTTGATAATATTACCCTGGATAGTTTAACAAGGTTATGATTTAGGAATTACGTACAATGATCATTAATCTAATCACTGTACTTGTATATCCAAATAATTTGTTTTGAAATTGGAAACACTAATCATCAGCTAAGAACAAGTCACCAACAACCATATTCAACAGTCACATCGAAATGTGAGATTTACAGCCTCGTGTTTATTTAGACAACTGGAAAATAAGTAGTTAGATGCTCAAAATGCAATGCTGACATCAGTACTTTCAATTCAAGTTCAGACACATGGTTTTTTTTCCTTTATATTTGGGGGGTATGGGATACAAAAGGGAGTTTTGAAAATTAGTAACATCAACAGACTGCATCACTGCTCTAGGTGGCTCAAAACAACAACAAAGCCATAGTCCCAATATGATTTGGGGTCGGCTATCATGAATCATCACAAGGGACCCTCTAATATGGACATAACAAGATAGATGATCGTGTAAGAGGATAGATGACATATGTGCATAAGTGTAGTCCATCAAAATTCATTATGCATCTTGAAATATAATTTCCCTATTAATTGAGGGGGATTCACGAAGGATTTCCCTACTTATGATTGGACAGCACCAGGGGTTGGCATTGAGTTCTCCCTCTTTGCAACAATATTGGATAAATGAACAAGATCTAGCTAAGGTGAGATACCTTGGGTGTATGCTGTTTGAAGATAATTGTATAGGTAAATGAAACTAAAGTTGGGGGTTATTGCCAACTTGGAGCAATTGAGGCAAAATCTAGAACCACAGGGGTTTAGACTAAATTGGAGCAAGAATGGGCACATAGAATGTAATTTTAGCAATGTTAGGAACTCAAGTGGGAATAAAGTAACATTGGATGGTCAGGAGGTGCCAATGAGCAAGTCTTTTAAAAACCTTGGGTCAATTTTGCAGGAGAATGAATAAATTGATTAAAAACCCCACAATATTAAAACCAGTTGGCCAAAATGGAGGGTATTGTGACTGTAGCATACATTTTATCAAATGGCTATCAAAGCAGCATTGCTATTTGGGTCAGGCATTCAGGAAGGATCGTATAAGAAAGAAGCGAGTGGCAGAAATGTGTGTACTAAGGATAATGAGGTAACTTATGATGGCGGACACTGACGATAATATGAGAGAGAACAGATTGCGTTGGTTTGGGCATGTTGAAATACAAACCAATAAGGAAAGGTCAGGGTCGGGATCAGGGGGATCACAGAAGAAGCAGGAGAAGGCCAAAGATGCCTTAGTTGGAAGGAGTAAAGGACATTAAGAAGTAGGAACATATAACACTGGACAGAAGGAAATAAAAGAATTGAATCATGGTTGGTGAATACTGGTGATAAAAACTTGGTTCATATAGTCAACCCCATCCTTGGGATTAAGGCTTTGATTGTTGCTGATTTATGTTAATAAAGATATGATCAAGCACAAGAAATTTTACAACTTCTAAATTAAAACACAATCATTCCATAAATACAAAAAATAAAATACGATAAAATGATAAACAATGTGACAAGTCACAAGTGAAGAAGACAAGGAACTCTGGCCGAACATTAGTCCTGCCATTTGAAAACTAGTAAAGTCAAGACCATCCTAAAAGAACTTGGATACTGACGAGTGATATGCATGCAGAATCTAACAATAAACTTAGGAATGATTACCTTTATAACTCACTTCCATGACCAAAATGCAGAAAGTCAAAGTAAAATTACGAAAAGAAATTAGATCCGCAAATTACCTGAAATTGCAAGGGGATTGAGGAGAGAGAAAGTGATATAGAGTATTCAGTCACCAACCGAAAGACAGAAGAAACCCCCACAAACGGCAGCTTCAAAACCCTAGGAGGAAAGCTTGATGACAAAACACCCAATTCTTCAGTACCTCGTTCCATAATCCATATCCAAAAATTCAGAAGCATTAATTTGCAGAATGAGTATAATTAAGCTTCAAACTATGAATCTGATTCAACCCCAAGATAATGTTCACCACTTATTATCAAGTATCATGCATTCTAAAGCCTAAGTAAGAAAATAAAAATTACTTCGTATAATCCATTTGAAGACCGTAATATTTAAATAAATTTTTTTTTTTAAAAAAAAAAGCATACACCTCAATTTGTCCAAAGCATTTATCTTCTTCTACTGTGCAATTCATCATAACAACTTGACCTCCTGTGTCATGGATCTAAGTAACCCACACACCAATCCGGGGTCAAACCTCAACTTGGGTCAAACCCAGCCTGGTCAACCACCTTAAGTGGTGTATACGAGGCACAAAGGAAGGAGCAAGCATGGACAGCAACAAGCAACACCAGCAGGGCGCATTTCTTAGCAACAAGAAAAACTCCATTAAGAAGAAGAGAAGGAAAGGAAGACAGTTAGTTTCGTTGTGTCCTATTTATGTTTTTCTAAATTAGCTAAGTATCACATGTTAGCCTTAAGGTCAGCTTGACCATTTTGGTATAAGTATGGTAGTTTGAGTAGTGGGAAGGGCAGGAAGAAATTGAGTGAACCTCTTGAGAGACTTGTAGCCTAAAGCTACTGAGAGATTCATAACCTAAAGTTATAACTATCCTTATGTAATCCAACCTTTAATCAATCAATTGTTCAAGCTTTTAGCCTTAAATAAATATCAATCGTGTTTCATTAAATCAGTAGAATTCAGTCCATAACATCCTGTCAACCTAAATTGATAATACTTTGTATTGAATTTTATAATGAAAAAGAGAAGAAGTTAGAGAGAAAATAAGAGGATGAGAATATTGCAATTTCATCGTTTAAGAGAGGAAAACAAAGATAAGGATTAAGAGAATGAAAACAAGGGGATGGAAAAGGATGATAGAATAGGTTCAAAGAAAATTAAGAGAGAGGAAAAGCAGGTAAAGCATAGGGGAAAAATGGTATATTTACTTTACTCCTAAGTCAGAATCATCATTACATTGTTCATAAGGAACAGTAGGCAAATTCTAACATTGAGAAGGTTTATTACTAGTTGTTGGTCTGCACGCTAACGCGAGCAACCCCCCAAGTTATCAAAACGTTGTTAAATGTGGATATTGTTAAATGAGGAAAAGGGCAATAGCATCAATTTGATAAGCACTATATTGTTAAATAGGAAGCATATAATGTGTAGTTCAGTCTTTTCCCCTTAGCTATATATATCAAGAGGCCATTACAAAATATAACATACATTTGAGAATAATATAATGGACAATCTATTTGTTGAGGAAGATGCGTGCAAATTCTTCTGTTAGCATTAAATGATTAAGACAATAAGATCAACTAGTAAAACAGAACACTTTGTTGGACAGTTGTAAGCTTGAAATTTTAAATTGGCACCAAGTTCTAAGCCAAAAGTCTAAGAAATTCAGTCCAGTGTAAAATCATAGCAAAAACTCAATTGAAGTGTGTTACACCTGTTTATCCCCTAATTCCTATAAAAATAGTGTCACTAAAAAAATTGAGTACCTATTTTTTAGAAGCTAAAAACAATTACAAGTACTGAGGATTTAGAGCAATACTCTATACTTCAATATCGGGAGGCTAGACCAGACAGATTTTTTCTGTTCCAACAGACAAAGATAACAGTCATAAGATACAGCTCAAACCTAGAGTATTTGTTCCTATAGTTTCTGAACTTAGTCAATTTCACAACAAAAGCTGAAAATTTCGAGGCTTTTGGATCTCTAACCTGGATCTCTTAACCCTTTGAAGTTTGAACTGTGATACTACAATGATTTTGAACCTGAGGAAGGAAATAACTTTAACTTTATACAGCTATTGGCAATAACACTGTTTAAAAAAAATAATACTAAATAAATAAATAAACATCTCACATTTTGTCTTAATTGTTCAGAACTGAAAAGTAATATCATCAGTCCTCAGATTGTTCAAATGAATATAAATTAGATCTTCCTTGATGAGCATCACATACAAGAAAACTGATTACTTCTAATCTCAAAAAATGATTACAGACAATAAATGATTCACTCAGAAGATTAAGGCTTATATCAGCAGTACAACAATCAGAGAGAAAAAAAAAAAAGAAAAAAAAAATAGTGAAAAAGCAAGTAAGATAGCAATAATGACAAACCTGATCAAGTGCAGAGGCAAAGAGGTCCAACACATGACCATGTCTAGCATTTTGTTTTCCTTAATTATCATAAAATTAACTGCTATTTGAAAAAAAATTGTGCAACTTCTTTGACAAGATCCTTGTGGGAACAGATAGGCTCTAACAAATAATTGGATACAATCTGCAAAAGGAACACAAAAGGCAAAATAAGAAAGCAGACATATTTCAGATAACACATACATATTATTATACACCCACTATGCACAATGCATCAGTAAATAAAAGGATATAATTTTTTTTTTTTTTAAAAAAAAGAAAAAAAAAAAAAAAGCGGCTTAGGCAGAACTCTATACTGTATAATTTCTATAGTACCAGTTGTTTTACTGCCTCCACTTAATGACCTAAATTTTAATTCTAAATAACTATAGAAAGAATTTTGTGATAGCTGTGGACAGATTCAAGATCAGTGGTGGAACTTGGTAAGGTGGGAAGCAACTACCTTGTGTTCCCCCATACACATGACACAAATACATCATTCAAACACCAACATGGCTCAGCTCAGTTTGATTTAACTTCACTAAGCTCCGGTTTGTGCTTAATTTTGACTCAACTACATCATTCAGTTCAAGAACTACTCAACTGCTAAATTGGCAGTTTGAGATTTGCTGAAAAAAAAAATTCATGGTTCTTTGGTTTTTTGTTGATAGAACTTATACTCCTATTATCAAATCATTTTCTTTTCTCATATCCCCATAGTATACTAAAATCGCAACGCCGAAATGAAATTCCTCGGCATAAACAACATAACCGCCTCCACAAAACAACTCAACTGATCACTAATCGACAGATTTACAGCTCCAATGAATTAATTTCTTCCATACATATGTATGAAGTGTTCACGGGAAGGATTTGATGCATTAAAAAACTAACTAAATTCTCTCCCTACCCCTCGCTTTCGGTATTTTGTTGTGTACAAAGAAGCTCAAAAGTGTAAATGTCTAAATGGCAGTCAGTACATTGCCTAAATGTCATAACCCAGAAATAGCTACAAGGTTATTGTTAGCAGTAGAGAAAACAGATTGTTATAAAATGAAGAATCCTAATAATGCCTAAATACTATACACTATTAGGTGGGAGTTCAACATCTAACATGGAAAAATACTGTTGCTACTTTGACCCTAACATGATTAATCGTGAGGTAAAGAATAAAGATGGAGATTACAAAGCTCTAGATTAAAGATAAAATAAGACTGTGATTTCCAACCTACAAAAAACACCCAAATGCAATCATATTAATCACCAAAATGATGAATTCAACTAGAACTAAAAGAGTATAATATTCAATAAACCAAAATGCTGAAATCAATAAAAATTCAGGCAAAAAACATACACTTCCGAATCATACATGTGATAAACTAATCAAAATTCAACACATTGCTTAAAAAATGCAACTTGATCAACAAGATTAGCACCCAGAACAACTCATCAAACTAAATTGGAAAAAGTGACCAAAATATGATCATATTGAAACAAACCTTATCATCGATTCAAACAAAACAGGTCATAACTTAATTACTACCTCCGGTCCAAATTACTCGCAACTTTGGGGTATCATTTGTGAGATATAAAATATTCCAAAGTTGCGAGTAATTTGGACCGGAGGTAGTATAAAATTCAGTAATTTGAATATTTGTTCAACAGCACCTTTCAATCAACCTGACATAAAATTCTTCTCGCTCAAAAATCTCAGTAAAATCAGTCATACAATTTTTTAAAACTTCATTATTTATAACCATTAGTTCAATATTCAATCTTAGAAGAATTCTAAAACAAACTAACAAGTAAATTAACGACGGCTCGACGAGCCCTAGATTGTGAATATGATATTCGATGAGATTAATAAAGACAGCTTACCTCAGATATCACTTCAATGGAGGAGATAAAGTTCAGAAGCCGCTTCAACTCAAAAACAACTACGGAGCAAAAAAAAAAAAAAAAAACTCATATCTCTGCCACTTCCAATTTGATTTTCAAATCTATTCAACCTTCAAATAGAATAAAAAAAAAACCAAATCAATTAAAGGGGGAAAAAACATTACAAACATCCATAAAACCTAGTACATATTAATCACACCGATAAATCAATTGAAAAAGAATAACAAATCAGAAAATTAAATAATTTTTCAATGACCTTGAGAACTTTTAGCTTCATACTTTCGTGTTCCAATCCAGCAATGAAGGCTGATGTATGAGCAATGGAAATCCAAATTAATTTTTGAGCAGAATTGGAAAAATGATTTCAAAAGTAGTAGAGGTATAATGGACAAGAAATCGGTGCCAAAAGCGGTAGCCGTAGGACTCCAGAGTGAAGTGATTGAAAATTAAATCAAATTAGATTAAATATATATATTTAAACCTTACCCTTAGCAAGCCTAGCAGAAGACGAAGCATTTGTTGATTGTCCACCTCCTGCCATTTTTGCGGCTCAAAAGAGAAACTCCTAGAGAGAGAATGATTACAAGGAGACATTGTGGGAGAAGTTGATCAGGAGAGCCGTGGAGGAGAGAGGAAAGGAGTACATTACATAGACTCTCAATTTCTCAAAAGCAATGGCTGGGAGAAAAAAACCAGGGGGGAATATTATTTAATAAATGGGAAAAATCGTAATATCACTGCTCATAAGTGAACAGTAGCAACTTCACATATTTTAAAGGGTATAGATTAGGAAAAGCACTCAACTTCTTCGTGCTGACAGAACTTCCTTGAGACCACCTATATTAAAAATGAGTGATCAACAAGATAACATCAGTTCAGAAACACCTTGAAAATTATACACAATGACAAAGCAGTAATGGACCTCCTATACTGGCCACTGATGCTACCAAGCTTTCACCAAAGAAATTCACAATCAGAGATCCAAACTACAATAAGCAGCAAATCCATGTAAATCCTTGAATATAGGACCAACACGACCTCAAGGGTCATAAGAACATCAATCTTACTTCTTCATACTAAATACTGATACTAATTAAAACATGTATGCAACCATACTCAAATGTTGTCTAATCATTATGTGACTCCATCATATAATAAAATGTTTTCAGAGATGTTAGTTATAGCAATGGCATTAAAAACTGAAAGTAATGCAAACAGACTAAAAAGATATTATGTCTCAAAACTGAAGAAATACTGCATTTGTATCCAATCAAAAAGATACTTGTATTGCATTAATGTTTCATATTGTCTAAAATATTTGAGTGGACACTTATTTTAGTATGGAGAAGAGCACTAAAAAAAGACAACTATTGAACAAGGTTTCTCTCCAAAGGAGAAAATTCTTGTATACATGTAGACCTTGGTGGTGTGCAACTACTACACTCCTCTATCAATACCTCCCCCCCCCCCCCAACACCCCCCAACCCATGGTTTTCATTTTCCTTTTCCTGTCACTCTAATAAGCACAACACATTCAAACTGCTACACATCCATGCAATTCTCTCCTTCCTTCTTATCCTGCTCTTGCCAATCAGTCGCTTGCTTGTGTTAGCATTGCCTCACATCAGAAATAGTTAGACATGCAATATAAGATTAAGAGAACCCAAATACATTAAATTTATAAACGTGTTAGTGAGAGCAGAAACTAGCTTCCATCAGACCAGTGCATTACCTAATCGCACAAGCAGATTAAACATGCTTAAATATAACCTACATGGCACACGGTACCAGGACTTACAAAAGATAATATGTACAAGTTAATAAAGACAACAGATTTTCAGGGAAGGGATTTAGCTAAACAAAAGCCGACGTCTCACAGATTTAGAAAGGCTTGGACTTGAAGCCTTCCTCTTTTCTTTCAAACATCCAGTTCCTTCACTTTGAGCCAAATTTTGGTTGTCTTTAGCCTGCTTTAGTGGTTTACTTGAACGATAATAGTCAGTAATAGCTAGCTGAACACTGCCTGAATTTGGAGATGGTGACTCTATGCATGTTCCCTTAGATCTGGTCACTTTTCTCTTGGATTCTTTCACTTCCTGCCAAGTGACAAATAGATAAGATTGATATTGTCAGAAGAGGAACCAGAAGGGAAACACCAATTCCCAAATACTCTAAACAATAAGCAACCAAAGTATGATGAATGCACAAAGACAAGTACTAACACAATAAAAGCATTAAACAAATCTATCAATTTCTATCACCTGAAAGATAATTAATAAAGGAGATACAGATCAGATGAGACTCATGAAAGCTATACCTTCTGCTGCAAAAAATTGTCAACTTCTACAGGAAAAGCAGCTTGGACTAGCTCTAAATTTTCATCTGTGAGTATAAAGCTGCTTTCACCATCAACATGAATTTGAGGCACATGCAACTCATCCCAACCATTGCAAGTTCCATCTGTTTGAGTCTCTTCAGATTCAGAAGCGGATGTTATAGAATATCCTTCAGAAGGTACTGAATGGTTGGCATCGCTCATCGATAATGCAAATCTCCTCCAAATGACCACATAAAATTGATGGCCATACCTCATTTTTAGACGTTGAATAGAGTCAAACTTATATTGTTCAAGCAAGAGAAGTTCACTTGGATTCAAAGCCATCTCTCTCAGAAAAATGGTGGAGAACATCGGCAATATCTGCTGCCGAATGTATGATGGCTCCCAATGCAGATGATAAGCCAAAAAATCAATTAACATTTCAATATCTGGTTCTTTCCACAAGAGATGTGCACTGTATTCGGCAATATCTGCAAGCAAAGATGGTGGATACTAGATGATTATCAACAGTAACAACAAGCAATGTGACTGATCCAAAAATGTCATGAATAACTCTGCACATATAATCTTCAAAAAAAACAGCATTTGAATAAATAGAAAATATCACTGATAATACTGTGTTATAGACAACAATTGACTATATAGCAAATATTGCTGACAATGCTGAGTAGCAGTCCAGAAAGAAGCAGAATTTTTAAATAAATAAACAGATCTTGCACATAGCATTTACAACAATATGCTAAGTTGAATCTTGAATCACAATTAAAGTTACCCTTTGTAAAGTCAACCATTTATGTGATTTGGGGTAACTAGCCTGTTGCATATTCATCAATTGTACACAATTTTTTTTTCCAAAAAGGTACCCTACAAAAGAAATACAAAGTTCTAAAACAACAAGTTAAGAGACACACGCTACGCGTGTACAATATAAGAAATTTATTTAGAAATCAAAACAATTACCTATGCAAACTACCCATATACAGAAGTCGGTCAAACTGAACAAACAAAAAGAAAGGTATAACGACGTATGCAGTACTTATTTCCGGGCACAATTTTATGAACATTAATCATACTCATACAATATTTGACACAAAAAATGTAGTCTGTATGGTTCTTCACACATAAAATCCCATATTAGCAAAAACATGGGTAACATGCTTCAAAAAAAAAAGGGCATACTACTACATAAATTACAACAATACACCGAAATTCAAATTCAATTTCTACCAAAGGAGAACTTCATTTATTAAACTTAAACAGAAGTACAAAACACAAAATTTACATGTTAAATCAAAAAACACAAAAATAATAAACATGTTAAGGCACATGACACGAAATCAGGGGTTATAGAATAGGTGGAAAAAGAATAGAGGACTCACAAAATAAAATCAATTGATATTGGCTTTTGAAGAGCAAGTGTCAATTGTCAAACTACCCACAAATTCAGATTCTTTTTCATAAGAAAGAATTCAGAGGAATTCTTTATTATCCAACATATACAGGTTGAATTGGTGTATTAATTTATTTTAGGGAGAATTTGACCATGGGTATATATAGATGGTTATAACTCTTTTGCAATGCTGCTCTCTCCATCTTCTCTCTTTCACGAGTCTTGTGCATGTTTTTGAAATTACGTTTGATAGTTGATAAAATGGAGTTGATTGGCTAAATTTGCAGTTACCCCATTGTTTGGAATTCAGGAATAAACTGTTACGGAGTGCACCCTATTTTTTAGGCTCATTTATATAAATAAAAATAAAATAAATAGTAGTTAAGGGGAAATTTTGAGTGGGAATAGTTGTGGTATACTGTGCTGGTGTGTAACTGGTAAATATAGATGAAATTTTCCTGGTAACCAAAAAAAAAATGTAGTTTTGAAATTTAAGAAGGGTAATTTTGCAAATCGAGAAGGGTATTTTGGGAAAAAAAACTAATTTATCAACCAAGAAGGTCTTTCTCTTTATATATTACTATAGATAGATAAGTTATAGTAGAACCAAATTTGGCATCTCTAACCTGTTCTTTTAACTGGATTTCTTTGATGCAAAGGACACTATCCTCACAACATGATAAGATGGTCCACAGCAAGTCAGCAATCATAAACACACTTCTAAATAGAGTTAAAAGAATTTGAATAAACGATATAAGTGCCACCTTCATTTCTCAGATATATTTCAATAATCTCATTGCAAGGAAAATTGCACTCCATGGATATCTTGTTACAAACTCTTAAGTGAAAATATTCATTCTTCTTAAGTTCCTTTTCCTTCCGATCCTATAAAGCAAAAGGCAGGCAAAGCATAAGTAGTCCGTCATCTGACAATCTGAATGCAAATGTCAGTTAACTCTTGTAGCTATCTGGAAGCCCTAACCATGCAAGAGTGAAAACTAAAAACAACTAGGTGGACAAAATCAAGAACATGTACAGTGCAAAAAGTGTCGAAGCTCTCTGGTGTGCAACTTAGCAGAACCACAACTGATGCTCTTACTGAGACCTCCAACATAGAACACATAAGAAGTGAACATGTCTATTTTACTTAATCCAACCTCCAAATTTGTTTTGGAGAGCTTTTGTCACCTTCAGGAAACAGCTAGGAGAAGAGGGGGGGATGGAAAATAAAACTATGAAAACAGGCTAAAACAAATAAACAACTTAAGACAAAGAATCATTATCAAGTTGCCTATAAGAGACCATGCCATGTTGCAATATATAAACAGCATATAATATGAACTCAACACTAGCGTACATCACAAACTTTCACAGGTCATGCATAAATAATGACCATGGATAACAAAATGGGTACAAAGATTGGTTATTCACAACATTAGTTGATTTGTATAAATCCAAGCAATCTATGCCCCTTCTGAAATCTTGTAACTCTAGTTTAAAGACTAAAGTGTAAAGTTTGGATAGCTCCTCCCTCTTCCAATCATTTAAAGATTAACTTTGATGCTTCCCTTTGCTCAAACAATAGCTCGCCTTGAATTTTGTTACTAGTGATCAGTTTGGATCACTTAGAACTTGGAGGCACCAAATTAATTGATCCAACTTAAGCTTTGGCACTCCAAGAAGGCATCAAAAGTTAGTATGTAAGTAGTGCAAAAGCAAAAGCGTAGTTTTGTAGTTTTAAGGAAGCAGTGTATATACTTCGTATGTTTGTATTTTCTTTTGCTTACCACAAATTCTTTAGAGAGATAAATAGATAAATATATGGACGGAACTTCGACAAGCTATGCTTGGCACGTGGAAAATTATTCAACATTTTTTTTAAAAGGGGGGGCAAGATGAGTGAAGATTGTTACCCTGTCACAACAAGAGCATACACATTTGAACTTAGGAGGCTTTTTACTACAATTCACTCCTGCGATGCTATGACAATACTCACAAGGCACTCGTCTATGAAGAGATTTGTTGCCTGGATGACCACAAAAAGAGCAATGAGGGGCTTTAGATTTCTGCAACATATCCGAATTTCTTGTACACTTTCCAGGAGAACCAACATTGGCATTAGATGGAAACATGGGCCCAGAACCTATTTCGCTTAACCTGTAACAGTAGTTCAGCTAATTAAAAGCCATGTCCAAATATATATTGGCCTGGCTTAAGAATGACTGAAGAAACCAACAATTTCAAATGTTTAGTGGCAAACCTTTGTAAAACTTCGTCTTCATTATACTTTTTCACAAAACGAAGAGCTGTTTCCATCCCGATTCCTTGCACTCCATTTATATTATGATCACTCCCAACCAGAAGAGAAACCGCTATTAAGTGTTTTCTCCCCAGGCCAAGACCAACTTCGATGTCCTCCACATAGTAGCATTCAAATGGTCCCTGAACATAAGGGAAAATCAAAACCGATGAAACTTGGAATTGGTCAGTGTAAGCAATGCGATTACAAATCAAGTCAATGACAGAGGGAAAAAAAATGAGCCAGAAGATAAAAGTGTGAGACAGAAAACTAAAAAAGATATTCTGTAACATACACTGGACTGTAGCAATAAAACAGATCAAAAGAATAATAACATTAAGGGCTCACATCCATGCTCAGCCGTCCCAATGGTCATCAGGGTATAAAAAAGACCATTGGCAAGAAAGTGAAGAAAAATGTAGCCCGTAAAGAGTATATGAGACATTGAACAAGATAAGGAGTTACCGTGGATTTAGGATCCACATGTTTTATCACACACTTAGCGCCAAAAAGGAAAGCATCACTGTCAGATGTAATGCAAGCATCTACAGCACCTTCAATGTTCAATTGAGCACAAAGTGCTTCAGCTTCACCTCTAGCTCTAAGAAAAGGCATACCAAGATGCTTGAGAAGATCCTGCAAAAACATACACCAACTTATGAAAAGATAACTCGTCATTCAAAACAAATAGTTTAGATTGGAGATTGGACTAAATGAAATCTACAGCCAACAGCGATTGAGATAGTACTAAATGAAATCTGCAACAGAAGTAGTAAAAAAGTAAAGCTATAGGGTATCATACCCTGGAGATTACGAAATAACAAAAAAGTAAAAGTGACCAAGATGTGCAACAGTCCACCAGTAGCGGAAGAGAGGGTTATATCGTACATACAATATTACTCCAATTCTTACGGAAGCTCTTTCTTACCAGTCAAGTAGTACAACAGCTGTATCTTATAGCCCGGCGCGGCGGGTCGCCTTTTGAATTCAGTAGATAGAGGAAACTCTTAGATAGAACTTTATTATAATGAGATAATGACTATCAAAGCTGATAAGCCCTGAGACGACATAATCCTGCCAAATTGTTTCACAATAATAAGATAAATAGAGGCTATTTGAAGCCTTATTTAATATCAACAAATTAATACCCCAGTGCCTCACGCCTCTCATAAGACTCCTTCCAGGTAAACATGGCCGTATGGGACAGTCACATTGTAAGCACAAAGCAGCCTTTCTCTGTAGTTACAACCTTACAGGTTATCTTCCTCATACCCTTGATCCAGAAGGCATTGTGGTTGCTACTAAACAGCATATAAGAACCAAATTCTAGTTCAATGATATAACTAATTCAGTCCATTGCAATCACATAATCAAAATTAGAAAGTTGTGCAGGCAATGACTCTAAACGTTGCAGGAAATGGATATATTGCACCCTAATTGCTCCTAAAGGGAAACAATACAACTCACACACACAAAGGTATGGAAATAGAATAATCATCATAAAAACAGTTCCAATGCTTGCAATTTAGGTCACCAATATAAGCAACTTGTTGTTGCAGGCCTGCAGCCACTTTTAGGTCTATTACCAACGCAGAAAAGCGTGCTACATTTGTGGAGAAGTTCACACTTACTCACATACAATTTCAGATTGCCAAGCTAAAAAAAAATTTAAAAAACAAATGCCTTATGAACAATAACTGTGAAGAATCTTACTCACCACACACTCCTCCACACATTTAACAAAAAACTTGTTCCGATCAACCGAAATACCCTCTTCCACAACAGGCATATCCTTGGGATCAATGCCAGATGATCGGAAATACCGTGCTATCCTTGCTTTAGACTTCAAGTGCGATGGCTTCCCATCTACAACAAATACAGGATATGCTCCAAACTGCAAATATTCAGCAGCACTATAATTAATAACCACGACCTTCACCAACTATGGATGTATCCTATTCACCTGGAATTCACACATCTATATGGATGTATCCTATTCACCTGGAATTCACACATCTAAACCAAATTGAACTAATGACCTTATTTTAGTAGTAAAATCAAATTCGGGTTGCCCTTATTACTAATTACCAGAACTTATCTGGACTTATTTTTTCATGAACTTTTATAATTTAAAACTTATCTAAACTTATTAACCCTTGTATAAACTCAATATATTACATAGGTGAAAATAAGCTGAACAGAACAATACCTAAATTCCTGCATTTCAAATCACCCTCATAGTTTCTTGCAAAAAATAACAAATATCAATATAAAACTGATGAATTGAAAGAACTACAAAAATCCCAAATGTAATTTCTTATCATAGCATAATTCTGAACAAGAAACACCATTTGGGTATTCAAACCATTCAACATTTCTCTATTCAACTCAAAAATTGGGAAAAATGTCTAAACCCAGATAATAAAATCAAAATTAAGGAAAATTACCTTAGAAAAAAGGTTAATTGTACGGAGGAAAGTGAGGCGTAGATGAGGATTTCGAACGCGGGAAGATTTAAGGGCAGTTTCATGTTGAACAATCCATAAAGAAAGATCAACAGCAACTTTCTTGTTCCTCATAAAATCAAAACCCTCATATCGAGCGTAGGGTTTTAGGGCATCCCAGAAATTTCCTCCAACACCCATCAATTTTAGTTTCTAAATTAAACCCACAAATTTTGAATTTTGATTACTTATACAGTGGAATTTTGAGTGAGAGTAATAGAGTGTTGGATAAAGGTAGAATCTTTCATTGGAATTTTTTCAGTCGGTGTTTATTGTGGAACCAAATTACAATTCCAAACGACGAGTTATCGGACAGGGGTAACAATTGTTTTTTTTTTTCCCCTCTGTCTTTTTTCAATGATGAACAATTTTGTAGATTGTGTGAAAAGAAGTGGAAAACGTCGCCCTCGAATATCTAACTAACACCCGTAAAATAACCTAAAATTACAAATTTACCTTTTTTTTAATAAAAAAAAATTACCCCCTCAACTTACCCCCTCTTCATACTACCCACCACTATATTAGTTGGATGATATCCTCTACTGGCTATATGATATCGATATTATCCAGTTAGTAGAAGATATCATCTAACCAATAGAGAATATCAACTAGCTAATAAATGTATCATAGACACAAGCATAAATGATATCATATAGCCAATAGAATGATATTATATAACCAATAGAGGAAATATTATTCTGTTATAATATCATATAACCAATAGATGATATGTATAAATGATATTGGAAGACATAAAATATTTAATGGAGGATGTGTTAATTTGTTTGATGATATGTATAACAATGGCGGAATCTCCACTGAAGAGCTCGTACTAAAGATCATGGATATAACATAACTTGCTCATTTCTCAACCAGAATACATGCATTTGTCATTAAAATGCTCACAATAAATTCAATATACAATCATATGGACAAACAATTTCAACAATATACATTACTTAAGAAATCCACAATTCGATTTTTTTGGGTATTTTTCAAAAAAATCGAGAAATAAACTCTCTCTCTCTCTCTCTTCCGAACCATGAATGGTCTCGCTTCTCTCCATTGCCATTGATGTCATCATCGTCATCGTTGCCTACAGGGAGAGAAGGAGATCCACCATTGTTGTCATCATCATCTTTATCATATCATCATCTCCTCCGCCGTATGAACTATTTGGTCAGACTTGACTGACCCAAAAGTTTGTGACAGTAAATATATATTAAAAGACGCTTGTTGAACTGGATTATTGACATAATTTAACATTCCTATGGCAATTACATTTGTTAATTATTGATTATTTATGGAGTATAATGTGAGTGTGTAAGATTAATGTTTTATCAAGTAATCCCATAAACAAGAATTGCATGTGTTAATTGAAATTTGAAGTTAAAAATTAGCTAATTGATTCAATGTCATTTTGGAATATAAGGACTAAGGAGCATCTATTTTGTGGGGATGTAGATTTGGGGATAGATTGGGATAAAGAGTGAAAATAGGGTATATATAAAGAACGACTTGTTTGGTAAATGACTTTTCATTGGCTTTTTTTTATTGGCTTTTAGCTTTTGGTTTTTTATTTAGTCAAACATCCAAAATTTGTGTTTGATAAATGAGCCAGCTGAAAAGCTGGCTGTTAAGCCAAAATGAAAACACTACTTGGAGTAGCTTTTGGCTACCTAAGTTACTTATAGCAACCAACAGGCAATTTTACCAAATATGTTTTTAAACTAATAAAAAGTCAAATAGCCAACAAAAAAGCCAATACAAACCAGCCGACAGCTAACAGTCAATTGCCAAACAAGGCCAAAATAAGATCAATGCACATTTAATTGTAAGTGATAATTATATGCAATGAATAAATAATGAGTAGTTTACAAAAAATATACTTCCTCCGTTATTTTTCACTTGACCTGTTTTTTTATCACGTTTGTCGATGCACAACTTTAACCATTAATAACTTTATTTCTCTATAAGTAAAAATTATAAAAGTTCTAAAATGTGATAATACTTGTTGAGACGATTCCAACAATGAATATGTTTTTCCTTGTATATAATTCACAAAAAATGATCAAAGGAAGAACAATGAATAGTGTAAGTCAAAGCGAGTTAAGTAAAAAAGAACTGATGAAGTAGTAAGTATTTAGGGTCTGTTTTCTTACGTTGAAATTCAGTTCAGTTCAGTTCATGAGACACTTGAGAAGAAATCAACTAACATAAAACAAAGTGAGGTTTCTTCCTAGTAACGATTGACATAAGAGTAATTCACTTGAGTTATAATTAAAGTGAATTTTTTTAGTTTATCGTTCAATGTGGGACAACACATAATACTACACACTCGTACTTACCAATAGTCAATTAAGCGTGAGTACACACTCTCCCTTGGATAAACAGTTAAACACAAATAGATGACACGCCCAAATTGTTAAAATATGCGTTGATTCAATAAGAGCTTCGAACAACTATCACGATTTTCTATCTTTTGGCTTATTTTTTTACCTTTTTTCGTTTTATGGATTTGGAGGTAATGTATTGAATCCTTTGTTATATTTATCTTAGTTAGTTAATATGTAGTTGTTTGTATAGGACTCTCATCTCGCTGGTCCATGGACGTTGCTAACTCATCATTAGTGAACCACGTAAATAGGTTGGGATATCCAAATTACCCTTATACAATCAAAGTAAAAGCAACTACTTAAACAAACTTTACCCTCATCGATTATTTTGCCCTTTGGGATCGAAAACCCAAACAACTTAAAAACAAAGTAAAAGCCAGTAATCCCTATAGTTTTTGCAAACACAAGCAATTGTAAATATTATTCATTTCATGCAAAACAAGAAGTTTGAAAACATTAATGAAGTACTAAAGATAATACCGGTAATGTAATTGGTCTATTAATACAATCATGTACTAATTCAAATCACTGAAAGATTTGCAAATTGAAATGGAAACATAGATTGGAGTGTAACTCAAAACACCAGGAGATGCTTCCAATGCTTGAGCAAGCATGTTTTGCACGCATCCGCTGCACAAACTTCTATCCACACTAAGATTCTCTAGTTTGATTGATTACTCAATTTCAAAATATTGTAAACCATATCATCATCAAGGGAGTTTATAATTATAATATACTTGTATGTATGAATTATGATTATATTTTTCCTTTATATAACAAAATAAAATATACTTCCAGCATCTCACAAAAACGTGAAAATAAAATTGAACAATTGAAGGACGTATAAATACAAAGAGTTGATATTGGTGTTGAAAATGAAGTAAATTCACGTGAGCTTGTTAGTAATTTGTTTATGGCAAATTTTACTCACCTTCTCGTTTACATGAATCTACTCATCTCCATTTTAATCTTCGTATTTAAAACTCAACTAATAACAACAATACCACAACTAATTACGAACAAAGGGAATAACTACGTAATCAACTTACCTACAACATACTGATTACTAGGTAGGCCAGAGTCGCCGAAAAACTATTAATCTTTAATTGCTTCATAAGTAGAGGTGGACCAATTACATGTACATAGGTGGATAGGCGAACTATATTAAAATTAACTTAATTAACTCGTCATATTATCAGACAATATCTGAGCAGTAGTGATAACTGTTGCTAATCAAGGGGAAAGGCGTCAAACTCTCGAGTTAAGATAACGATATTCCCATACTTTGTAAAAAATCATAAAGTGAACCTCACCATTGACCTTAATAAACATACAATACTATCATATATTATAAAGTTAATTAAATATTAATTATGTTGTTTGGTTGGTACGTTGTTGTTACATTATACTCCGTCCATTAACGTATCCTATGACCAACTTGTAGTTTTTTTATCTTTACTTTTTTTTTTGTTTGTACAAAAATAAAATCTTAAATAGTAACATGTTTTTATAATTAATATATAAATGCCAATAATAATATGGACAAAGTTTGTTTGTAGTTCTAAAAAAAACAAAAGTAAATACTTAATTACAAGCTTCCAATACTAAGAAGCATCCACGGTTCTACTCCCCCATATCATTCCCACGTACACACTTCTTTGGCATCCATGTCTTTTTCACATTTTAATTTTCAAATCAATATTGTATACAATCGTAGCTTTGTTCGTTGTAACTTAATTTTATACATTTGTAAGTATCCTAAAAGTTTTAATTACATTACATATGTACTAAATGGAACTAATATTGGAAAAGTACAAGATTTTTATTTTTGGCGATAATGAAAATATAAGCTTTATGACATTTTTTTTTTCAAAAGCAATGAGTGATGAGGAAATTCCCACTCACTCCCAACAAACCTCTTATGAGATTTGATCCCATAACCTTTAATTCATGAGGTTAAATTATTATCACTCATCAAAATTTCAAAAGAAAATTAATTTTTTTTTTTTTTTTCGTATGCCTCAAAATTAAGGTAACATATAATACAACAAAGTAGTATTAATTGTGACAAACCGTCTTGAATATTAAATTAGGACAAAGAATCTTTTACTTGTAGCTATTGTGCAACAATTACTATACCTCACATTATGAATAACTCAAGTGCAAATTTGTTTCCTTCAACTATATTATTGTCTATATATATGAGCGTCCAAAGAAAGGTTCAAAATTTCAAATTAATGTCTCTAGTCAATCACAAATTATCAACCCCAATCAATAATTTTATAAATAGTGGGAGCAATGTCCGATTAAGACACAATTTTATAAAAAGTTTAATTAAATTAAATAGATTAAAAATTATCAACTTAGTCGATGATGACTTGATGAAACAATTATGGTCCTCCACCACTATAATAATTAATCATGATCAAGTTTTATAAAACATGATTGTCATTTTCCTAGGTAATTATATATGTAAGTGATTAAGCTAATTAACAAGATACTTATCACATCCACTTAATTAGTAAATTCTTTGAACAAACACCACACGTGGCCTTGTTCATGTTAAATTCCAAAGGTACATTTCCTTCACCTACCAAAATGTCATTTCCTAATCATCTTTTTCCATGTTAATCACTTAATTAGCATCTTCTTACCTATTTCACTAAATTACATGCTTCATTTCATTTTTTTTTATTCATTAAAACCCAAATAATTAACAATTAATTTTTTTTTTAAAAAAAAAGAAAAAGAAAAAGAAAGTACCTCCCTCTTTCTTTTTTCTCTCTCCTCTATACATACCCTTCATTTCCCTCTCTTTTTTTTCCTACACTTATCCTTAACTTACTCTTACATTATCTCCTCCCAAAAAAAATGGCAACAAAAAATGGAAGAATGCTCAAAGATTTCTTACAAGATTGTAATAGTAATAGTAATAGTAATAATCAACCCGTGTTATCGGCGGAGGTGCCTAGTACCCTTCCTAGGAGCCGGAGTCGATCACGAGCAGCGTTAACCTCATTCCAGAAGCTTCTTACGGCGGTTAAGAGCTTCCACAACAACACATCATTCGCAACGCCGTCAACGTTGCAAAGGAGTGTTTCTAAGAGGTTGTTAGAAAGGTTGCGTAACAAGAAGCCAGCAAAGAGATCGGATACTAGATTATCCGGTGAGGTAAGGAGTAGTAAGATAATGGTGGTCACGGTTCGAGTCAAAGATATCCTACGGTGGAAATCGTTTCGAGTCGTCGAGGAAGAGGAGGTGGAATCCCATCATTATCAGCCGTTGGATGATAATGATGTGGGGCCCGCCAATGACGCGCCCACGAATAATAATAGTAATAATAATAGTGATAGTAGTGGTAGTAATAGTAATGATGGATCGGAAATGAGTTGGGGTGAAAGTGAATTTACCGTGGCGGAGATGGTGGTGGAAGAGGAGGAGTTACCGTGTTGTATGGGTGATTCCGGTGATGAAGAGGGTAAAAATTGGGACGACGTTGGTGTTGATGGTGCATCGGATTCTGAAGTGGGGTCCAAAGAGGTAACGACTTCTATTCACTTTTTTTTTTTTTTTGGCTTTCGTTTTTTTTAGAGGATACGGTTGAAAAATTGACATATTTGGAGGGTGTCCACTTTTTAATTATGTGCACATGGTATGCTACTTTTGATTTTTGCCAAAGTTTTATGGTTGGTACTTGTTACAAATTATAATGTGGCTAATTATAAAAGTAGATTTTTTTATTTTAATTAATGATAATTAGAAAATATTAGGTATAATTGCATTGATGTATTTTTGAAATGCTATTTATTTTGTCTTTGATGATTAAAATTTATAAGTTCGACACTAAATTGCAAACAAGTATTATAAAAGTAGATTTTTTTTAATTAATGATAATTAGAAAATATTAGGTGTAATTGCATTGATGTATTTTTGAAATGCTATTTATTTTGTCTTTGATGATTAAAATTTATAAGTTTGTCACTAAATTGCAAAGAAGTAATATAAATCACACATTTTAGCAGGGAGGAGGAGATTTGAACCAGCTAATTATTGTTTGTTACTAGTTAGATAAGCCAAGATAACTCATTGACAACAATTATAATTTACGTATTTAATTTTGTGCACTTTTTGCTCCCCAAAACTTTTGTGGTTCATAAATATTGTACAATATGTCCAATTATACTCATGCAACTGCGGTCCATGAAACAAAGGTCTTTTTGTATTTTTGTTTTTTTTTTTTAATTAATTAGATGATGAAACTAACTTGACTAATAATTAATAAATTGCACTTGAAATTTAATGACATTATGATAATAAGAATTGAATTTGACTCGGTATACCCCAAAATTAAACATGATGTTAAAACATAAACTACTGTCTTACAACTTAAAAACGACTTCATCATATTTTGATTAAAACCAACATTACTCACCACTTGAATGCGACCTAAAATAACCCGTATCGATTAGATGTAATAGAGAAGGCGACGTTAACCCGACTTAAAATTGGGAAGCATAAGGAGTGCAAGTGTCTGGTGGTTGAGGGTAAGGGGTGCCATTGAAAGTAACATGACAATAAGTCAAGCAAGCAGTACATGTTTGGAATTGAGCTTAAAAACTATCATGGGTCACCCTTTGTCCTTTTGTTTTGGATTAGCGCGTTGCTTAGTTGACCTGCTTGCATTATCTTGCTGGTTCAACATAATATACAGTTGTTGAGATTATATCTATCTTACTGTTTCAGACATTTTTGTAGGAATTTTATATTACATCCGATCCTTCCTTTAGCAAAGTAACATGCTACATATCTTGTAGTCCATCCCTAACTATACAATGATTCATAAATTAATTTTGTAGGACATACGAGTAATTAACTGCGGTTTTGGATTTCGCTAGATATAACATGTTAGTTATAATTATAATGACGTGTGATTTTGTTATAAATTCTAAACGTTGTACAGATATTTTGATGATGACTTTATCTGTTGCTTATCTATAATAATACTTATCTACTCGGGTCAAATCAGAACTTGGTAGTTTAATTGTGTCTTCGGATTAGCCACTTAGGTTGCTTTATCTATTATTATGGAGTATGTTGTAACATAAAATGTTGCAATCTTTATGTCATTACAGGATAAACATAACATAGGAAGTGAAGAAGGAACAGAGCAACAAAGTCCAATTTCAGTTCTTAACTCTCCATTTAGAGATGAAGTCTCAGAAGAAGAGTTACCTTTATCTTTTGACCAAAAAATGGCTAATATGGAAAGTAAGCACTTTTCTAATAAACTCTTATTAACATGTCTTCCTAGTTATAAAATCGTTACCATTAGCCTAATCGCGAAAATTTATTCATGGATGAATGTAGGAACGAAGCAAAGACTTCTTCAAAGCATCCAATGGTTCGAGGACTTGGCTGGTGTCCATGATGACGGCGAAACAGATTCAGAAGAAGAAGAAGAGCAACCGGTCGAGGTTAAGAGTAAAGCTAACTCGAGTAGGGGATTTTGTTGGTTTAAACGAGGAAGTGAAAGTTTAATGGAGAAAAAAGAGTGCATGAGAAAGCTAGGAGAATGGAACAAGTTTGAGGAGGAAAAAACAGAATTAGGAGTTGAATTGGAAGATGAGGTGTTAAGTGATTTGTTGGATGAGGTTTTGAATGATTTTTGTGGATCCAATGAGTAAATTCAAGAAAAAGAAATATATATTGTGATGAATTTAATTTGACTATTACGAATTTACGAGTGTCAGCGGATTAGTTTGTTACATGTACATACATAAGAGGGAAGAAGAAGAAAATGAGATGAAGAAAGTGTAATAAAGAGTATGCTATGTATGCACCATTGCTTAGTTTAGTAATATGCATATAGCTAGGACTTTTGTATGAATATGATGCTAATATCTAATATATATGGGCTTTTTTTGAGTGGATATATATACCAATTTCTTTCATTATGTACTATGTTAAATGAAGAGCAGCACTTGGCAACCAAGTTATTGAACACAACAACAACAAAAATATGATCGGGTAGAAAAAATTTGAATTTTGGATTAAAGTTAGTTCAGACAAATAAAATTCGATTCAAGTCAAAATCAAAACATTTAAATTCGAATAATGAATTACCTTGATCAAACTATTTCAAATAGGGTTACTCTAACTAGAGCCGATCAACAGCGACCCGAGTAGTTCAATATCCGGTTTGGGCAGATTTATTGGTCTCAATTTTCAAGCACAACCCAAATTTTAAAAACCTATAGTTAAATTTAACTCAACTTAAAAAGAAAAGCCAGCTATTTAGAACTGAATAACAAAACATAGATGAAAACAGGTTATTTAGAGGTTGAATGGGTAGCCTGACCCAGAATGTGCCATTTTTAGCCAAGACTTGGCCCAGACCATGATCAGGTGTATTCTAACAGGCCCATTGTTTATTAATTGAGATTTTTTTTTTTTTAATGAAGGAATATTAATTGATATTAGTGTATGAAGCCTAATAATCTTTATTAAAGCTTGCTCTATGATTGGGTAAAAATAATAAATCAAATGAGACTACCCTTTCATTTTTTTTTGTAGCATAATACATGTGACTAGGGCTGTGCAAAAATCGGTCCAGACCGTAATTTGGACCTGAACCTGACTGGACCTGGATTAGCCCAGACCGGACATGTTGATTCCGAGCCGGTCTTCGGTCCAAGAAAATTGTGGATTCCGGGTTTCAGGTCCGATCCGGTCTAGACCCGGAAAAATCAGGTCTGGACCTGAAACCCGGATTTTGATAATAATTGGGGGAATTTTCTATTAGTCACTGACTTACCCATTTCCCTACCCTAACAATTTCAAACTCAAAAAACTTCTCTTCTAGTCTCCACTCTCCAGCACAGTCACCCTCACACATACTCCATTTTTTCCCACGAGTTTGAACATTATCGATTTACCATCTGCGCCGCTTCTTCTTCATCGGGACTCTCAAAGTTGAGTTAAAGCCATGTCTCGAATCTTTGCTTTTCGAACCTCCTTGTTCGACTTCTACTATGTTCAATTACTTACTATAAATGGATAATTTCATTATTAAGGTTTGAATTATCTTCGCTTGCTGCCAAGACTTCAGTTGGTAAAGTATCAAATAGTTATCATCTTTGTAATAAAATATAGTAGATCTAAGAATATAATTATATAATAAGCTTGCTTTTCTACAAAATGCATAAAGATTAGCACCTGGCCTTATTTATATGTTTTTATTTTGACAGGTTTAATTTATATGATTAGGCATTTAGGCACTAATAGTTGGTTTTATTTTATATTGTACCGATTTTTTACTTAATAAGTGTGTAAAGTGTAATTGGCGTTGTAGTTTTTAGCTTAATAAGCCTTCTTAATAGGCTTTTGTGTAATTATATGTTTTTATTTTTGAAGGGTAAAAACAACGAAATTTCTGAAACAGGTCTAAAACCGGACCGGACCTGAATTTTCAGGTCCAGACCTGATTTTTACAGGTCCAGACCTGATTTTTACAGGACCGGTCCTCGGTCCCCAAAATGTCCAAATACCGGTCTTTAGGTCCAAGGGGTCCCGGTCCGGTTCTGGACCTGTGCACAGCCCTACATGTGACAGATTCTTTTCTGCTTAAAAATTTCATGTTAATTATAATGCTCCCCTTTTCTTTTTGGTTACACAAGGTCTTTATTTCCCTTCTAATTAAAATCCTCAAAATATATAACTATGTTACTTTGCCATATATTACGAAAAATGTCATCGTATATGCACTAATTATACTACATATACTCCGTAAAAGTGATATAACTATGTGAGTATTGTTTGATATAAAGCTCGTATAAATGTCCAAATCTAGCTATCATAGTATACGCGGAAAATTATTATAGTTGGGCAAGTCAAGGAGAGGGATTAATCTCTCTTTTCTACTCGTATCCAAAAAGATAAAAATACACATATGTTCACCTTATTTCCACTTATTTTAGGGTTAATAAGTTCAGATAAGTTCGAATAAGAATTAATAAGTTCAGATAAGATAAGTTCAAGAAAAATAAGTTCAGATAAGTTGTGATAAAGATTAATTAGGGTTACCCAAGTTTAAACTATAACTAAAATAAGTTCTAATAAGGGATAATAAGTTCGGATACGTTTAGATAAGATTAGATAAGTTCAGATTAATCAGGCCCATCGTTTAGATAAGTTCAGATAAGTAAAAATCAGGTTAATAGAACCACCACAAACCTCATTGCTCATCATTTTCTTACGCATTGGCGTATTGCCTATTAGTCAAGGGAAATAATAATGAACAGCGAGTTATTATTGCAAATCAACTTCCGCTAAAGCATACGATACAAACATGTTTAGTTCGAGTACTGTTTAAACTATCTGATCTTGCTGCTTATTAGAATATCTCGTTTACCGTCAAACATTAGAGACTAGAGAGAGTAACCGAACAAAAAATACTTGATAAAATGTTGCATGAAGTTAATATTCCTAGCTAGTCAACAAATTATAGATGATCCGTAAAATGTGGAATGGTACGTACTTGTTAATTTAATATTATTACATATTTACATGTATAATATACCAACTAAAGCTGCTTAATTACTACGGAGTATTGTTGTATATTTAGATTTTTGATGCTTAATTTGTCTCCATTCTCAATGAACAACTATCCTTTATATATAAACAAGTTCAATTAGATTGGTTTGGCAAGTGGATTAAGCTCATTGAGAATAAAATAAACTAGTACAAGTATTTCAATTAGGCCTATAGGAAATTTACGGCGCTTCATTGACCATCTAGCAACATGACAAACAAATTGAGCCGATTTCAATTATATTCTAAAGATAATAATAAGAGCTATAATAAACATAAAAAATATGGGACGACCTTGTTGCCTGTTGGATATTCAACTTAATAGTTTTATATTATTTGCAGTATAAATTTTATTTTGTAGGTAAGAAAAAAGGGTAAAAGGATAAGAAAATCTCCATTTCTAAAGTGTCTAAGATAATAGTTATCAATCCTATAAGTTAAAGATAGTGAAAACGGAGTACTCCGTATAATTCTTAGTAGCTCACTGTACTTAGTGGGGGACGGAGATGGATCAAGAAATGTGGAATGGCTAGAGTGAACATTAATAATTGGTACGTATCTTCAACTCCATCCTACGGGGTACTAATTATCCTAGTGGGATCACATTGAAAAAGTTATTTATGCAATCATGCTATTCTATTTTTAGGCATAAACATTTTGTATTAAAATTTCCAAAATTCCAATTTTAGAATTTTTATTCTACTCATATAATGGGCCGCATTGAAGTTAATATAGGTAGCCTTTCCATCCCCAATCATCAAATGCCTTCTCTTTCTTAGCAGAATGATTCAGTAAAGCATAATAAAGGGGTAAAATATGGGTTCAAACTTTATAACTCAAAAACAATGCTTGTGACGCAAATGTAGATAGAAATATAGAATACTACGGAGTATTTCTTAAACGTATTTGGTTGAAAATGTACATTTAATTTGTAAGATACAAATGAAGCACTTTTTTGGGAGCACGCTCATTAATGACTAATGAGTTTACTATAAACTTTGGAACTTTCTAGTCCAATCTGATCCAAACATGTGAAAAATAACGCAAGTGATCCAATTTAGTCAAATTAGTTCGGATTAGAATTTCCTAATTCTTCGATTTGGATTGAACTAGAGTGACAAGCCTCCTTGGCTTAAACTTGTACAACATGGGCTTTTGAAACTTGTGTTTGGAATATTCTAACACAATTATATTGTAGTAGGATGAAGAAAGCAATATAATAGAAGTACAAGTACATTAAGCACTTGTTCTCTTCAGATTATTTTCAGTTCAATTCACTTCAGTTCTTAATTTTTTCTCTCATAAAATATTCAGTTCAGTTCAGCTAATCAGAACAGACCCTAGCTAACATTGTAGTATGCAGAAGAGTTAATATTGATGATATGAAGTAACTCCGCCCATTTCCCATGCATGCAAGATTAACTGATAAAATTGGCAGGATAATCAGTCCACATTCCACAAGACAAGGTGCATCACGTATATTAATTTATCTGATTGTATCATACTATAAATAAACAAATACTCTTATAATAATGGTAACTTATATTTTGTAGGAAATTAAAGTTACATATTTTGGTGTATAATTGCCACCTTTAATATTGAGGTTGATGGTATGAAGTACGCGTGTCTTTTGGTGATTTAAGGTAGTTTGGATTTTAATTACAGTAACTTACTGCTAACTTTAATGCAATATATTGCACATTGTATGATTGTATCGCATTTTCTTGTGGAATTTTTGGACTTACTACCATTACTAGCCACGAGAAATAAGGCAGTGCTCAATTCAATACTCTACTTGTTGGCAATTAAATTTATACTCACTTCAATACAACTTCTTTTGTTTTCTTGTCATTTTAAAACCTCATATATGTTTGGATCTAAGAACACATATATGTGTAGTTTTTGTGGCTGGTCAAAATTAACAAGGGTTGTTTGATGGTGTATTGCTCGATAATGAGGGACATTATTCACCGATTAATTATAAGTACATCTGACTACTTGAGTTTGTCAAGGTGGTATGTATATGACACACTCGCTCATATATATATGTATATATTGGTAATTGTAGCATGTAACTCACATTACGCATGCATGTAGACTCAGATCGATGTATAATAGATATTCAAATCATCAATTATCAAAGAACTAGGTGCATCAAGAAAATGCTGACTTCTCTAGATATTAATTATTTTATCCTCTATTTTCCTTTTAAAGTGAATTGTTTCTACTTGTTTTACTACCAACTAATGTTATAAAGTAACATAATATACGTAGTACAAAACTTTTACTTGAGTTTGGCTTGTGGAATTTGCATACCTCCCATAATCAATACATTTAATTGTTGTGGTCCTTAATCTATCAATTCTAATACAATAGGTAGGAGCACGTACTACTTCATAAACAAGCTAGCAATCTTAGCATCATTACCTTTACATTCAAAAGGTAGGTTGCTTGAGTTCTTGAGTATAATTAGAAAAGGTTGAGTATGTTGTATTATGTAAATATATTGGGTGATTTCTCTCAATAAAATTAGCCTTTTTCGAATCAGTTCTCTTCATCACAAGACAATAAATAATTGTAATTTAGTTCTCTACTATAAAATATTTAGTCTGAATTTTATATTTTTGGCACAAAATAGTTTTTTCTTCACAGTTTATTCAAATTAACACAAATTGCTGAGTTTTAATAATAAAATTTTGTACGTTTGGTCAATAACAACTCATTGCATTAATCTAGTCAATAAGAAATGGATCACTATGGTAAATTGGTAATCATGAATTGCATATCATATACTTCTCAATTATCGTATATATATCACTGATTCAATTGTTTTAAACCCTTTTATTTTATTTACAGTTTGAACTTTAAAGAGTTACAATGGACAATGACGACCTAAAGATATAAATAATATTATATCGAAAACTTTACAAATTAAGCAAATGACCGGGTATCCACAAACGCACGCCATCTAAAATTAGAGGTTAGATTTCCAATTAATTAAATACGGTTATATCCTGGATGTACAACAAAAAAAATAAACGAGAAAGATACTTTGCTTTCTGTTGTACTAACTAAAAAGAAAGTGCTGTAATTTGTTATAGTATCTACACTTTATATATAATCTACTAAAGCTAAGGATATAACAAGTGTCTTTAGTAGTAAGACAGTTCAATTTTTAAAGAACTTTACAAAAGGGTTTCTTCTACTCATCAACTTTGTAAGTCAGATTAATTAATTAATTAACTAATTAATTTAAACTATTTCTACAAATGAAAATCAGTTTCTTCTTCCTCTAGGAGCTTATCAGCTTGTCCCATTTGATGAATTCAATTTATGGCAACTGCTAGAAAATTTATAGACTTGTTGGTTTGAGCCGTTTATCACAGTAGTCAAATGTAGTGGGGACCTTTATTTATTTTTAAACCTCTTTGTAATTGTAAAATGTAATTTTTTATGTAAAATCTTAATTAATTCATTTGTTATATTTTTTTGACATATTGAGTACTACCTCCGGTTCGTATTATATGCGACTTTGATGGATTATTTGTGAGATATAAAAAATTCCAAAATTGCATATAATACGAACTGGAGATAGTATTTAAATTGAGAATCAGAGCTTCCAACAAAGGACAAGTATTTTGTATTATAGCCTTTATTTAAATTCATCAATAACTATATACATTATTCCAAGGTCGTGTGGAATTTAGTTGAAAGGTCAAATTTTCAATCATCTCTATTAACCGATTCTTGTACACCACATAATCATCATGTATGGAGTAATATAACATGTTTACAATATGTTGCTTTGTGCTAACTAAGCTAAATATAAAAACAAAAAGAAAAAAAAAATTAGTATACTATGAAGTAGACTAGTCAGTATACAACGTTACAAAAACTATCTTTTTCAGAATTTTGTACCATCTTAAAATTTGCAACTTGTCACATAAAAATTTGGATTATTGTTCATAGAATGCTTAAATTTGTAGTTTTATTAGCTTGATTCCTTCATATAGCCGTCAACCCTAACCCCTTTATTTCTCTCAATTACTCCTATTAGCATGAGGTGAATGAAAAAGAGAAAGAAACTAGGAGAGGAGTTGAATTTCACAAGCTTTTAATTGACCTAATGACAATTTAGAAAGAGATACTAGAATGTGAACCTCCTTATTCTCTCCTTCATAACGTTTTAAATCATCTTTTTGACGGATTAACCATCAAATTAAAGTGTACCTAATATCTAGCAATAGTATAATACCTTAGTTATAACACCTGCAAGGTTAAAGGGATAGCATGAATTGACCAAGCTTTGACTATATGTGTGATTTTAAGATTTTGGTAATTGTGTGATTTTTCAAACATTAGTTTTGGACTTTGTATCATGTTTATTAATTTGAATTGGGATTAAGGTTATTTGGCAGTAAGTAAACAATTAAAAGACAATATCTTGAAAATACAGTGAAGACTGAAGCGAACCAATCCTTGGCCATCACTCATGAACTTAATTCATTTATACTTGTTAATTTGTTATAGACATGTGGATTGAGCTTAGAAAACCCTTATCTTCTTTAACAAACTTAACTTATATTAAGAATTTGAATTTTTGTTTCACAATATTATAGCTTATTTTGCTAATAAATCTAAAATTATCATTCCTAAAACCAGCAAAAAATAAATAAAAAAGGAAAATAAGCTACCAGTATAATTTTTTTGTAAGTACTCCGTAGTTATTTTCAATCCTTCTTTTTCTAGCTTATTATTGTATACAACCTTAACATCGTTAAATGATGCACTTATCATTTTCATGAATTAGAGTTATAGAAAATTAAAAACAAATACATACAATATAAATGTGATATATATATATATAAAATTAATGTGAATATAATAAGCTACCTAATTCTTAACATACACAAACTTAAAAAATCTAGCTAATAAATAAAATAACTATAATCTCCAATTTAATAGAAGTCCAATTAAAATTCCAATTTTACCCCTTTCCACTCCCCAATTTTCATTGTTGACCATCTCCTCAAAAAAGGAATATTTAATAACTTGTTAACTAGTAACCTCCTCCTTATATAATAAACACACTCTCTCCAAAACAGAGAAGAAAACCCCATGTCACAAAACAGGGGAAGAAATTCATATTTCATCTCTTTTTTCTCCAATTCCTCTCCTCTAATAGTGTTTGTCTAATATTGAAATTTAAAAATAATAAAATCCAGTTCTAATAATTTCATCCCAATTTATATTTTTCTTTCTAAACCAAAATTTGATTTATTTTTCGATTTTTAATTTCTGGGTTTTTGCTCGATGAAGAACAACAACGAAGAACAAGCTAGGTCTTTGTTTGGAATCAGCTTAACAAGTAGGCCTAAATGGCATCAATTCCTGATTTGCTCTTCTGGGTTTTTCTTCGGTTACCTCATCAATGGCATCTGCGAGGTTAATCATTATCTTCTTCTTCGCACATTTTTTTTTTCTTCTCTTTTCTATTTTTTTTTTCTTGCTTGGGTTTCTTGCGAAAATCAAGAAAATTCACTTTCTGTTGTGAAATTCGTAAAAAAAAAAAAAATTATGGGTTTGTTACGCTTGTTTTATGTGTTTCTGGGTTTCATCAATTATTTCTGTCACTTTTTTTTAGTTTGTTTTTGGCTGTATCTGTACTGTGATTAATTATTTTTTTTAAAAAAAAAAATCATATTTGAGAAAATGTATCTGTAATTTATCACAGCTTAAATCAGTACATTTTCTAAGAACTTTTTACTGTATTTTTTTTTACCCTTGTCCTGTATTTTCATTGGTATACATTCTCATGCATGCTCCTTTTTTTTTCGTCATATTTTTCTAGTTCAATTTCTCAAATTTTACCCCTTTTTCTGTGTTTTTTTTTTGTTGATTTCAGGAATATGTATACAACAGACTTAAATTTAGGTGAGTTTTTTCTATCTAATAATCTAATGTAGTTGCATTTGGGATTTTCTTGAGTAAAAAATTAATGATATCTTAATTGATTACAACAATAATTTAATGAATCAGGGTGATTTTTTGGGTCAATATTATTTGGGATATTATAGGGTAATTAGGAAAAAAAAATGGAATTTGGTGGATGATTTTCTAATTAATTAATAAGCTAATTAATGGTGAAATTGGTTGCAGCTATGGTTGGTACTTCACATTTATTCAGGGGTTTGTTTACTTAGCATTAATCTACATGAATGGGTTTACAACTAAACAAATGGTGAATCCATGGAAGACTTATGTCAAGCTTTCAGCAGTTTTAATGGGTTCTCATGGACTTACTAAAGGATCCTTGGCTTTTCTTAATTACCCTGCTCAAATTATGTTCAAGTCAACTAAGGTACACACTAATTACTTGTTAATTACTTCATATGAATCATATTTTATTCAAAGTTGCACCATTTTTTCTGCTAATCTTTATACCCTATTGTTTCTCAATCAGTGTCAGTGTTAGTTTCGTCGTTTTGTTTATGAATTTGAGCTTGTTTATGTTAATTGGTGAACTAGTTGAATGTCTATTAGTGGCATTTTTATTACTTAATCAATGTGGTTACTTGTATTCTATATATGTTTTAGGTGCAACTTTTGACTTGGAAGATTGTGTCACTTGATTTCCTTACCCCCTTCATGGATACTAATATTGCTAATAACCCAAATTAATCCTTGTAGATCAAGGTGCTTGTGTTTCTTAGTATTGTATTCAATTTGTCCGAAATTAGCTGTAAGCTGTTACATTCTAAGTCCTTTTGGAAAAATTAAACCAACGATGTGACACCTTGTTAAATCGTACTCGTACATGTGACTATCAATATCGAGCAAAGAGCCAAAGAAAGTACTTTTTGTAACATTATGTTAATAAAGGACATTTCGTTGATTGTGGCATAAACAGGTTTTACCGGTTATGATAATGGGTGCATTCATTCCGGGTTTAAGAAGGAAGTACCCTCCATCTGAGTATTTATCAGCATTGCTTTTGGTGGTGGGTTTGATACTTTTCACTTTAGCAGATGCTCAAACATCTCCAAATTTTAGTATGATTGGTGTTATGATGATTAGTGGTGCTCTTATTATGGACTCCTTCCTCGGAAACGTGCAAGAAGCGATCTTCACCATGAATCCTGAAACCACTCAGGTGCTGTTTACACCATCCTAGACAATTCATTTCATAAGGAAAATGTGATCCAAATTCCAGATTAAACGATTGCTTAACCATCTTTTTGACCTCTATGGTAACAGATGGAGATGTTATTCTGCTCAACAGTTGTTGGTTTGCCCATGTTGATTCCACCTATGGTTCTGACAGGAGAGTTGTTTAGAGCATGGACTTCATGTTCTCAGGTGAATCACCTGCTTTGACAACCGAACTAGCCAGCCTTATCGCAAAACCTTGTTCTTGTTTGTCTGATTTGCTTGACACGTTTCTCTCACGTTCCTTATGCAGCATCCCTATGTGTATGCTGTGTTGATTTTTGAAGCCATGGCTACCTTTATTGGTCAAGTTTCTGTCTTATCTCTCATTGCTTTGTTTGGTGCTGCTACTACAGCTATGGTATGTATAACAGTATATGCTCATTTCCTTGGCTTTTTTCTGCTTTTAACTCGTTGTCATCTTTTGTTAAGGAATATTATGCATTGAACCATTTTCCAACAACAAACCTAACGCTTCATATAACGTATTTTAGTATAATCTCGTATCATAGTAAAAATGAAATTCTTTGATTGAAACTCAGGTGACCACAGCAAGAAAGGCAGTGACATTGCTGCTATCTTACTTGCTCTTCACAAAGCCTTTAACTGAGCAGCACGGAACAGGACTGTTGTTGATTACCATGGGAATCGTAATAAAGCTTTTGCCAGATAACAAACCCCAGAATAGAGTCCCAAAACCAACCGAAGTCAGCAAGGTGGAAAGACTATCCACAGAAGAGGAGATGAACCGATTGATCAACGAAGATGACCAAGAAAGAAGGCAGGTGGTTTGAGAGTAAATACCGCGTCTAGCACAACATTTTTAATGAGTTCGTCTGTTGTAGATTGATAGGATCCCTCCAAAAATTTAGTGAGCAATAGTTTAATTGGGTTGGTGATGCTGTGATAGCAAGTCTATAGAGATGTATTTGATTATATTCCCCCCTTTGAATGTGTTACATATATATCAGGTGAATATATATTAACATTGGTGATTTCAGCAGAAGATAATAGCTAGTACAGGTTAATTAAGGATTCTAGTCGTTCGTATCTGTAATCGTTAAAATTTCATTTTTATTAACATAGTCCGAAATTCATAATCGTTCATCGAATCATTGTTGATCCTACCTAGATGAAGAAGACTATAGTAAAATACGAGTATTAACTTTAACGTTGCTTCTTGCTTGATATAAAAGTTCCTAAAGTTTCTCCCACTAATCTTAATTATACAAAGTAATTAATTTGGGGAGTATAAATATTAATGTAATTTGACTAGGATCATTTCCCAAAATAATGTAAGATAAATATACGTATCCATGGAAATGGGATGGATTGTACTATCACTCTTGATTCTATTTAAGGGTATTTAGGTATTTTGGCGAATTTGGGGATGAATAAGGGACAATTTTGAGTATTTTTGGGGTCGTGATATGTAAAAATTTAATTATGTGCATCTATGAATGCCGAATTGCCAAGTAAACAAGATCCGAAGAAGTTGGATTTAGGAGTATTAAAATCGTGAGCTGTAATGTTGAAATCACCTCCAAGTGTAAGCCGATATGATGTACTGTGACCAAATTTTTTACTGTACAATCGGTTGTACTTTAGTCAGATTAGTTTTTTTGTTAACGAGCTAAACTAGAAAATGAGAAGATAAATTAGCAAAACATTAGAAGTAAGGATAGATTAGAAATTAAAAGCATATTAGCAAACTCATTGTGGTTTTATGCAAGCCAAATTTTTTAGCAACCAACATGCTAAGGTATAATTGTATAAAAGCGAAATTCTCTAAAGTAATAGATACTAAAAAGTACGTCTTAATAACAAATCATATATAGGATAGTTTTAAAAGGGCTACAAAAATCACGTATGAGTAATGTAATAGTTTTATTAGTTCATACATTGAGCACTAGACAATATAAAATTAAGTGATAACCAATTTTTTTTTCTTTTCTTTTTTGCAATAGTCAAATTAAATAAATCAATGGATTTGATTAATTTCTAAAAATAGTATGGTCTAAATTGAAAACTATCATAGTCGATAGTCGATATAATTTTATGGTAGCCATTAAAAAGTATTCCGGGTATGCATAGGTAGAAATTAGAATAAATAACAATAGTGTTACACGTATAAGCACCTCATTCTAGTTTGCATGCATGGTGACACCTATACGTTCATTTCATCACCTTTCCTCCATTATAAAACATACATACTAAATTCCAAAAGCGGCAACCATTTTCTAGCAAAGTAAAAAAAAAAATTAAAAACAATTACAAAACCAAAAAATAAACCAGTAAAAATTTCCAGAAATAAAAATGTCTGGAAAAAACAACAATAGTACTTACACTAGTATTGACAAAACCAACCTCTTAAGCCAAGAAATTGACGAAGAAAACCAAATGTTTAGAAGAAGAAGATCCGATGAAGATGGTTATGATGATGAAAGGGCCCAAAATGAAGAAAGGCCCAAGCCCAAAGGCCCAACATGGAAGGGAGAGAGTGCAAAAAGTGTTGTGTATGGAGGGTTAGATGCTATAGTCACCTGTTTTTCACTTATCTCGTCGATCTCTAGTGGTGGCAGTATGTCATCTGTCGATGTTTTGGTGTTAGGATTCGCGAATCTAGTGGCCGATGGGATTTCTATGGGGTTTGGGGATTATTTGAGTAGCTCTACTGAGAAGGAGATGGCTTCTAAAGAAAGAGATGTAACACAATGGGAGGTTGATAATCATGGTTTGTCACAAATTACGAATTTGGTTAAGCGGTATCAAGAGCTTGGTATGGATCCCCAAGATGCTAATACGGTAATTTACCAAATCTCTTCCTTTTTTCTTGATAAATTTAACGAATAAGAGCTGTTACTCTGTTAGTTGTCTGACTGTTAAATAATTAACGTAACTCTTTAATGAAATGAGCTGATACGATGACATTTTATTTAGTAAGGGCATTTTGGTCATTTAATATGAAATCGGCATAATGCATTTAACAGGTGGTAGAAATATTTTCGAAGTACAAAAATATAATGGTGGATGAGAAAATGATGGGACAAAAGGGGATAATGCCACCAGACCAAGAGGAGAAGCCATGGAAGAGTGGGTTAGTCACCTTCACTTCCTTCCTAGTATTTGGATGTGCTCCACTTCTATCATTTATCATCCTGATCCCGTTCACCAACAACGATACCATCAAGTTCATCGGCGCTTGCATACTGTCCGTCCTCGCCCTCACTCTTCTAGGACTCGCAAAGGCGAAGATCTCCGGTGGAAGTTATACGCTTTCGGCTCTTATGACTGTTTCTAATGGTGTCATTGCTGCTGCTGTTGCTTATGCCATTGGATGGAGTCTTAGAAATCTTGCTGGCCTAGAAGAGCCTTAGTTTTATATGTGAACTCTTTGAAGCTATGCTAAATTTTTTTCAACTTGTATTATATTTGGGGGAAATGAAGCTTTTTGGCTAGGCTTTTGAAAATTGCACTATAAAGTTTCAATCTTGATTCTTATGTTGTGAGATGAAAATATTTGTGCTTCTAATTATACTTCTACATATACTACACTACAATAACATTGGTCATGTGGTGTTACTTTAGGAAAATCGACTGATGAGAATTGTAGTGACGCGGCTAGTATTTAAGATTCTAACCTTGTGAATGTAGTACTGCCTTTGTTACGACATGGATTCACCTAGGACAAATATAAGCCATAAGCAAAAACAAATGTAAAAACACGAAACAAGGTAAAATGAAGCTCTTTGGATATGAATTCCAGAATTCAAGTGTAAGATTATATTGCAAGTCACTGATCTTATTGAGCAATATATTAAACTTTCTATGACAATTTTGGTTGCAAAATCCTAAATCAAATAGGCATTAAACATTATTGAACTATCAGTAAATCTATACCTCTATGCAAAATTCAATAATATAGAACATAAAGCTTACTAGATTATATGGGTGCAAATTAAAAAATTCATGCTGTTGATTTGTGTGGGATAGTCATAGAGAAGGTCTAGCACTCTTCTTCCATCAAGCATAACTGCAAAGCATGCTCGGCCTCACGTAGGAACAGTCTGGTTAGTTGCTTTTGTCCTCGTCGATAGACTATACTCGCCCACCTGTTTCTTCTCATCATCTCATCAGTCTTCTCAAGTAATTTGGAGTCGGATTCTTCTGTACCCGAGCCCTCTTCAAGATCCATTAACCTAGCACGATCAGAGTTCCAGTTAGCACATTAGACAATGCAATTCATATCTTCTTCAGATCTCAGTGTCCTCACAGCTTTGCCTCGGAATTTAAATGATTTTTGTGAGACGAAAAAAGTGCATATAAAGATAAAGATCACCTACTGGGGGCAGTGATTAGAGGAAGGGAATAATATACTTTCATGAATTCATGCCTACATGGTGATCAATAGTTAAAACCGAAGGGGAAGGGAAGGGGGAAATCGTTTTGAGCAGTTCATTTAAACTAAAAATGAGAAAGTAGGGCATAATTTTACAAAACAGCTCTCAGAATAGCATAAAAGACCATGGAAACTCACTTTGTATTCAGCAGATCAGCAAGAAGTTGCAAAGCCCCTGAATCCCCGCAAGCTTCCCATACAGCTGCTCGAACTTCAGCCTCTGATGGTACCCTCTCCCCTTCACTTCCAACAAGCTATATAACAATTAGCAAATAAGATGTTTTCCAATAAATATAGTATTAAAGGAAACAAAAAACTATCACCAAATATTTATTAAAAAAAAGGGGTGATCACTCATTCACTTGACTAGATAAACTTAGAAGAAGAATAAAACAAGCTACAGAATTTCAGAATTTCCAAAAGGAATACTCTTGTAATCAACTGAGATCTTTTTGTTAGTTAAGTAGCATTACAGACTAGAGACCATTATACTGTTTTCACAAGACAGGTCATAGGCGCAGGGTTATATATTATAAAATCTCATGATGATAGATGTCAAAAGCATGTGTGTGTGTGCGTGCGCGCGTGCGCGCGTGCGCGTACAGGCACATATACACATAGGAGCAACAGCAAAATAATGCTTGCAAACACTCAAATCCAGAATTATCAACTGACAGATAAGATCTGAAGATAACCAGAAAAGAGAGCTCAATCATTTTACTCATTGTTAGAGGAGGAAAGAATGAGATCAGGATTGTAGATGCAGGAAAATGACTAGTAAGACCTGAGGGCCTCATCACACAAGTAGAAGACCACATCACAATAGAAATGAAATGCAGAATTATTTTTATTCTAGAGAAATATTGATTCACAAACCAAGAATGTTCAAGAAAAGTGGTTGAAATACTGCACCTCTTCAAGCAAGGATTGAACATTGAAAAGCTCGTTCTCTTGCATTGCTACAGTCCGCAACGAAGTCATAAAATCCTCAGGGAAAACAAGTTGATTCACATATGAAGGGGTCTTCCGCTGGCCACTCCAACTATAATTCGGGCCCTTATTCTTGTCACATTCCTGAATGTTGCTTTCTGAGGATGAGCATGGGAAAAAACCTTGATCCAACAAGCTTTTAGGTAGCAGGCACCTTAATTCAGCTTTCTGTGAGATTAAAGCATTATTAGATATAGCATGGATACATCAGTTAACAATATATGTGAGAAGAAACATCCAAATCCATCCATCCCAAAAAAAAAAAAAAAATGAAGCAACTTGAAGAAGCACAGCCATCAGACCTGTGCTTGGAGAAGTTGTGTTTTCGAGTCTGCAAATGGATCATTTTGAAGTGCACCTGCTGGATAATGCACCTGCATGCACATTCAGTTTCATCACCATGCTAAAATCATGATCAACTTACAGGTGTAACTAAACCTATCATAGCTGAAAAAATATTTATGAAGTTGATTACAAAATGTGTTCAGTAACTCAACTAATGTATCCAAAGAAGTTTAACATAGCTATGAGATAACAGCAAAAATGTAACATCAGTGATTTACATTACAAGATAGAATGTCAGAAAAGAAAATTACCATCAGAAAATCATCTGGATTGTCTTCAATTACAAATCCATAGAGATAAAGCAGCTCCTGCACACTACTTCAATAAGCATAAATGTAGAACAAACCACATGGAGTTCCTGTTTATTTTCCAATCTTTTTGGGTGGGGTGAGGTGGGGAGGGTGGTGGGGGTGGTGCGCTATTACTTATTCCATCCTAGCATTAGGATCAAAGTAGAAAAGCCAATGCTTCTCCCTTTTTGCTACCAATGTGCAAGACTCAAACAACTATTTAGTGCATAATTGACAAGAGAGTACATAGATAAGAAGTACCTCATTTCCTTTGTTACCATAGCTGATGGTTATCTCTTTCCCAATTTCAGAATTTACTTTACATGCGAATAGGAAATTGAGAAGCATCAGATATACAAACTAAGAGTGAAAAAAGCATAATCAAGATATTCTACAACCACAATGAACAATTCAACAAACATTGAGTTTTTATCTTTTGTAGATAGTAATTAATTGTATCAACATAATTTCAGGCTGTCAAAAAAAAAAAAAAAAAACATAATTTCAGGGGAAAAAAAGTCTACCAGATAGAAGAAACATTGAGAGGGGCACTCCAGAGGTAGTCCCAGTGCTATCAACTTCCCACGTTGCTGCAGGTTTTATACCTGGAATGACAAAATCTCAAGTTAGCTGTGGATGCAAATCTTGCAATCAAGCCCATCAATTTCTAAACTATCCATTAATAAATCCTATTTGAAGATCTATGTTACGAGCTTTATTATCAAGCCATTACATGCAGAGTTGTTTCAAGATTCTCTAATTAGGTTGACCTTCTAACTCATAAGATCTTAAACCATCAGATGTGAGAAATTAAACCATTCTCGCTCCTTCCATCCACTACGTAAGCAGCCTGACATTTCCTGTAGTGTATGTCCAATCCCTCTACTGTACATCTTAGGTTAATAGCAGACAAAGAGATAAGTCATAAAAAAGTGTTCTAAATTTTTAAACAGAAAAGCTTAGTTGGATATTCGAGGCATTACATCAATAGAAGTACTAGTCATTAATCAGAGAATCTGAAAGATTAGTGAAGCTTCCTGCAATGAGAAATGCCAAGTTAGCAACAACAAATTTACACACAAGTTGGTTTGCGCAGAATTTTTTTTATCCTAGCAAGAGATTCCATCACATAATACAGGGTATAACCACAAGGAGAATGCACAATGGACTTATAAATCTGTTAATAACTATAATCACAGTAACTGCTTAAACTGGATGCTTGGACAGATCAACTAGGGCAATCTAACATCCAGCAGTTAATGGCTAAGTACACTCAATGATTAGGATGACACAGTAACTACACAAGATCACATACTACCAGTTAACAACTATCTCTGAAGAGATTGTGAAGGTAGACATGAAATAAAAGACAGCATATTGAGAAAGCAAAAGCAATAGAAGAAGTAAAGAGTAAGATTGCGTACGAAAGAGGACTGAGAATAACTACCATGGTTGCAGAAGTCGATTCCTGGAACAAGACCCTCAATGCACAGAGTCTCTCCTTCCATAGAGGCTATATTTAACCCATTAGAAATACTATCAGATGCAGGAATCTCGGATCCTACAAAAATTAATCATACAAAATTACAACCTCGTCAGAAATAATTCCCATCAAATGATAGATCAACTGACAAAATAAAGCAACCCGTTAAGCTGCAGATTTTTAAATTTTTTTTTTTTTGGTTTTCTTTAAGACAAGTTGGTAATTAGCAGATTCCTTAAAAATGGAAAGTAAGAGGTACACTATCATTTAGATGAAAAGCTTCCTCTGCCCAAGTCTCCTGTCTGATTTGTTAACCAAGGTGAGATTACATGAACTTTTGGAACCACAGCTAAATTGGGGTAAGTGACAACTGTTCCCTTCATTACCTTCAGGAAATATGTAAGTAAGAGGAAGAGGAATGTTCAAACCACGGGTCCAGAAGACAGAACTAGCCCTGCATGTGTAAACCATGCATATTATGAACTACCTATTCAACAACTAGCGTAAATATTCAAACCGTCTATTGGAAAAACTAAACATAATATATCAGAAAAATGACTACTTAGCAAGCAAGCTAAAGTCAACCCTAAGTGTTAAAGAGTATACTCCCCCATCCCTAAATTAACTTTATACTTATTTTTCACAGGTCTCCAAAACCAATTTGTGATCATTATTATGCACAGGTTATTTCCATATAAAAGTTTGTAGATTTAAAATACACATTTAAACAAATTAAACCAGATTCTACACGGTAATAATAATAATTTATTTTTTTTAAAAAGGATGTCAAAGTGTGGAGAAAATTTGACGGAGGAGTACAACAAGTTCAGGAGTAAAAAGAATACATAGTTGCGTACCATAGAAAGTCTTCAAAAGCCACCTCCCTGAAAAGAAAGACAGAAGAGATCACATGTGAGTAGCTATAAAAATTGTAAACGCTATGATGATGAACACCCATAATCATTACCAGACATGAAGGCAAAGTAAATTTTATAAAATTCACATGCTCTAATAGTCTAATTCCTATCCAATCCTAACAAAAACTATGTTAATAGCCATTAAGTTGCAAACAGGAAGTCAGCATAGTGATTAGATATAGCAAAAGTTCATAGAAAAAAAATCATAAAGCCTATTGTCAGAAAAATTCGGGGTTTGACAAACTGTATTAACAGATTTTATATTCTCATTTATGCACACAACTTTTTTGATCTGCAGATGCAGAATAATGTGCATTTCATTGTATTACAGCGAACAGGATGTATCTCTAGATTTATTAGGAGACAGAATCAGAGAGATCGAGCAAATGATACAATGTCAACCAATTCTTATGTAACAGAGCACAGCTTACCACCCCAATACCTTGTAATTTACTAGAAAAGCTATAGACATTATCCTCGTTTTTCTATCACAATACAAGATGTATTATAAACTTTAACAAACCCACAGCCTCTTTACTTCTGAACAAGGAATTTGCCAAAAAAAAGTGTCATATTTTTTTTTGGAAAATAAAATGGCATGCATGACAATTCTTGTGCAAAAGGGGTCGTAAGGGATGGAGGAGGAAGATTTATGTCAATGACTACACGGAATAATCATATTTGGACATTTGGTTCATGTTAGCCGACCCCACTTATGGAATTAAGGTTTTTATTGATTGCTTGATTGATTGATGACAATTCTTGTGCAAAAGGGACATTCCATAATTGTGTTTTGCTAATTCATCCTTTTCTTTGTTGTCCATATACAATAGTACCTACAGTTATGCAAGGTATGTCTAATGCAAAATCTATTAGATTACTAGCAAAAAAACAATGGTTCCGACTCTCCAAGATCATGGAGCCTGTTCATAAGTCGAATATCTTTTTATCTGTCAAACATGTAATAAACAGACATACCAACCTTTCTGATTGTCCATCCAAAATTAGAAGTCTCGGTACCAGATTCTTCACCTTGTCCTCAAACTTAGCCAGCAAACTCTTCTTCTGTAATGCAGCTCTTTCGTTACAATGCCAAAAGAGATGAAACTAAGGTAATACATATAAGGAGGTTCATTTGATGTTCACATACTGACATACATAGGGTGCTCATTTAAATTAAAGGGCAATGATATACGACCATAATTATGAGTAAAGACAAGATGGCTTGAACTTTGACATGCATACATATGATGAGTTTTCAGCATATATACACATAAACACCCCAAAAAACCAGCCAAATGTGCTTACTTGTGATATGCTGGCCTGATAAAGATTAGTTCCTTTCAACTCCCGAAACTCATCATCAGTAAACCAAAGTGGATTTCCAAAGGAACTAGGAATCATATCAAGGTACCTGCAAGAACAAGCCCTAAAAATCAACCTAAGGAACCATGTTAACCAAGGACCAATAACACATATAACATCAATGCCTAAACATACGGTTTCCATGTCGAATTACTACCACGGAGACGTTCAACAGTCAAGAACAATATCATCAAAAACCTATCATCCACTTCACCTTCCTCATACATTGCTCTACATGGTGGTCCCAATAAAGGGTCATCCAAAACCCTCGCAGGGGTTATTGCCAAATTAAGTGGCACAACCAAAAAAACCCCTGATGACATATTTCCAAGCAAACCAAGAACAACATGAATTAAGCAATCAAATTATGTCATATAAACCAAAATTAATCATAAAGCTGTCACCTTTTAACCAAGAATATAAAGTTGCCCAGATAAAAATTAGTTCAAACTAAGGAAGATACAATTATAAACTAACCATCAGAAACATTAGTAGTTGAAAATAGACCAAACCCTTTACTGGAATCACAGTATTTGATGTTGCAACCTCTAAACTCCACTCCATTTACCTTGAATTTTTGTGGGAAATTGGTGTTAGTTTGTCTCAACTACAATCAAATTGATGAAATTGGTATGTTAAAATTAGGAGAGAAGTAAAGAGAAAATCAACCTGAAGCCATAGGAGAAATAATTGAAGCTTAATCTCTTCTTCTTGGCTCGCCATTTTCGAATTGAGTCCTGAAATCCGAATCAAACAGAACTTGAAAGAGAGGTTGATTTGAAGGATTTTTTTACCGTACGGGGAATATTAAATTACGAAGAATTAATTGTCATTCCTTTTTGTTCATTACGGAATCAGTTCACTTTAATTCAATTCATATTTCAAGTTAACAAATTTCAGTCCAAAAAAATGGGGTTACATTATTTAGTTGCAACTGTTTCACTTTATTTAATTTTTTTATTTAATGCATCAATTGAAATTTTACACTAACTAAAAAAAAATCACAAAGTTTTACGTGTGGATGAGGTTACTTGGTCAGAAATCAATCAGTCAAATAAGGTTACTCGGCAGGTCAGAAATTACTCATTTAGGGGTTACTTATTTGGTTAAGATTTTAATGTTATTTGGTTATAAATAAAAAGGTGTACAAATATAAGAAAAAAAAAATAGAAATAAGAGAATGGGACAATGGATGGAATTTAAAATTTTATCTTTTAAAAATTATATAAAACCGGCATCTCATGAGTCGAATATCACAATTTTAATGGATAATTGATTAGATTAAACCCTAAATGATGTAACTCAACTTAAATCAAATCTTGTTTACATAATCAATTATGCCACAATGTCGGTATGACGCACATACTCGTAATATTTAGGAAGGGCCGCATCAGCAAGTGTGAAGTGATTGATTGAATGTGTGAGTGAGTTTTCCCAAAATTTAACCTTAACATTTTCATCTTGGTCAGTTGCCTCAGTAAGACCACCTCAAAAACCCTGCTTTTCTCTCAAAACCCTCTTCCTCTCTCTTCACCAACGGCCTCCTTCTTCCCTCACTCACTCCATCAATACTCTTAAACCCCATTTTCTCTCTCCTCCTCAATTCAATTCATTTCATCATCTCCAATAATGACTTACTGTATTCATCAAATTCCTGAAAATTTCATATCACCTTCACTCCCTAAACCCAGAAATCCCTCTTTACCCAAATCAATTTCTTCCCACTCCACCCTTTTCCACTCCAAGAACACCCTCTCTTCTTCCCTAAACTTGCGCCTCGCACGGCCATGGAGTTTCAGGACACGGGCAACTTCTTCAACTATCAAGGGTCAAGCAGAAAATGGTGCTAATAAAACCCCACAAAAAGTTGTGCAGAAAACTGGGAAAAGAACTGATTTGAAGAAGATTATGATTCTGGGTGCTGGCCCAATTGTGATTGGACAAGCTTGTGAATTCGATTACTCGGGTACTCAAGCTTGTAAGGCGTTGAAGGAAGAAGGGTATGAAGTTGTTCTGGTAAATTCTAACCCTGCTACTATTATGACTGATCCTGATTTGGCTGATAGAACTTATATTACCCCATTAACCCCTGATTTAGTTGAACAAATTTTGGAGAAAGAAAGGCCTGATGCATTGCTTCCTACTATGGGGGGACAAACTGCTTTGAATTTGGCTGTTGCATTGGCTGAAAATGGGGCTTTAGATAGGTATGGGGTTGAGTTAATCGGGGCGAAATTAGATGCTATTAAGAAGGCTGAGGATAGGGAGTTGTTTAGGGAGGCTATGAAGAATATCGGTGTAAAGACACCGCCTTCTGGGATTGGGAATACTGTTGATGAGTGTTTTCAGATTGCTAGTGAGATTGGGGAGTTTCCCTTGATTATTCGGCCTGCGTTTACATTGGGAGGGACCGGAGGAGGGATTGCTTATAATAGGGAGGAGTTTGAGACGATTTGTAAGTCGGGTTTGGCTGCTAGCTTGACCTCTCAGGTGTTGGTGGAGAAGTCATTGTTGGGGTGGAAAGAGTATGAGTTAGAGGTTATGAGGGATTTGGCTGACAATGTGGTTATTATTTGTTCAATTGAGAATATTGATCCTATGGGAGTGCATACTGGTGATTCGATTACGGTTGCTCCTGCTCAGACCTTGACTGATAAGGAGTACCAAAGGTTTAGGGATTACTCTATTGCTATTATTAGAGAGATTGGAGTTGAATGTGGTGGTTCAAATGTTCAGTTTGCGGTTAATCCTGCTGATGGGGAAGTAATGGTTATTGAGATGAATCCTAGGGTGTCAAGGTCATCTGCACTTGCTTCTAAAGCTACTGGTTTTCCGATTGCAAAGATGGCTGCCAAGTTGTCAGTTGGTTATTCTCTGGATCAGATTCCAAATGACATTACAAGAAAAACTCCTGCTAGTTTTGAGCCTTCTATTGATTATGTGGTGACAAAGGTCAGTATTATTCTATTGGTTCTGTTAGTCTTTTACAATTTCTGCACAACCCCCTCTCCCCTTTCTCCTGGATATCTGAATATAGTGTAATTAGGTATTTCTGACTTTCTGGTAAGTTAGTTGCTTTGTGGAATATTGGCTTATAAAATACCTGTAGTATGCTGTAGGTAGTGAATGTTGGCTGCTAGGTGCCTAGGTGAAGGAAAAGAGATATTGTTAAGGCTCCTCATTTGAGAGGAAGATGATTTATTATTTATGTTTAGATGCAAGACATAAGAGATGTACATTATACATTATACATAAGTTAATGATTTTCACTTTAAAAAATCCATTGTGAAATTGTTGTTACTCTTCTCTGGTAGCTGTTATGTCCATAAATGGAAGCAGTGATCACTGAATGATCTAGCCTCTAATATGCTGCCGAAAGAACTTTTGGAAGTTTTGTTGTAGAGCTCAAATGTATTCTCACTATGAATTTGGAGGCACCCTTGACCACTTGGGAAATGCTAAATATAGCTAGACATCTGCTAGACATGACTGCAACTTCTAGGAGTTGCTGGATAAGCAGAAATTTTAGAGTTAGTGTCCTGTAGCTGATCTGTTTGCATAGCATTTTATTATCTGTGTGTTGCTCATATAAATTTTATCAATATCTCTTTCTTATTACTGTCATGGTTAGTACCAGTGGATTTACACATCTCATTTTATTTTCATGTTATACACTCGTGCAGATTCCTCGATTTGCATTTGAGAAATTCCCTGGTTCTCAGCCAATTCTCACCACTCAGATGAAGTCTGTTGGTGAGGCCATGGCCTTAGGTCGCACATTCCAGGAGTCTTTCCAAAAGGCAGTGAGATCTCTTGAACTTGGCTACTCAGGGTGGGGATGTGGCAAGATAAAGGAGTTGGATTGGGATTGGGAGCAGCTGAAATACAACCTCCGTGTTCCAAACCCTGATCGCATCCATGCTATCTATGCTGTGATGAAGAAAGGCATGAAAATTGATGAAATTCATGAACTGAGTTTTGTAGATAAATGGTTTCTCACACAACTCAAAGAATTAGTTGATACTGAGCAATATCTTCTATCTCAAAAACTGTCTGACCTCACAAAGGATGACTTCTATGAGATAAAGAAAAGAGGTTTTAGTGACAAACAAATTGCCTTTGCAACTAAATCGACAGAGAAAGAGGTCCGTTCTACAAGGTTGTCATTTGGTGTTACCCCAGCTTATAAGCGAGTTGATACATGTGCTGCTGAATTTGAGGCTAATACTCCATACATGTATTCGTCTTATGATTTTGAGTGTGAATCATCTACTACTCAAAAGAAAAAGGTGTTGATCCTTGGTGGTGGGCCAAATCGTATAGGCCAAGGAATTGAATTTGACTACTGCTGCTGCCATACTTCATTTGCCCTTCAGGTTTGTAGTTGAGCTAAAACTTTCTGCTAATGTAGCTTGTGACATCTTTATTTGTTTATTTATTGTATTGCTTGTATGTGGTGTTTGCATACTTTTGGACATTATATATTGCAAATTATTCTGTAATAACCTTCGGATGCTTGAGAATTGTTGGAAACAAATGGTGCTTTGTCTAGTCCTTTATGTTTACATTTTGTAATTGTGTCAAAACTCAAAACCTAAATTACCTGTTCAATAATTTGTTTAATTGTTTTTTTTTTCCCTTTTGGGACATGCAAGAAAAAAGAACTGTGCCTTTAATGTTAAAGATATTGGTTAGCATGTGCTTTGTGCTGCCCATTGTGATGATATTAGTCAATGGTTTTGTTGTAATAATAAAATACTCCTTGTTAGTCAATGATTTATTTGGAAAGTTTTGAATTATTAAAATGAATGATGGCAATATTTTTCCCGCGTTTTTACATGTTTGAAAAGCATTCAGCATACCTCTTGGTATGGAATATTATTTTTTCAGCACCATATCATACATGTACACTAAAAAGTAAATATTCCTTCGCTGACATTTGTGCCAAGTATCCCTCTTATTAAAAAGCTTTATACTCGTGTTAGCATAATTAATTCTAATTCTCGTGATATAATAATGCCTTTTAACTAACAACCATTGGTCCTATACACTGTTGACTCTTTTAAGTGCTAACATTGATTTTATTAAAAAAATAATTACTTTTTTTTTAGGCTCTCATTCTTCTGTCAAATTTCTTGAAATAGTGGTTTTACATCTTTGTATTAAATGGTTTAGTGGTTAACTTGTTTTCGTTTCTCTTGCAGAATGCTGGGTATGAGACCATCATGATGAACTCAAACCCTGAGACTGTATCCACAGATTATGACACAAGTGACCGACTGTATTTTGAACCTCTTACAGTCGAAGATGTTCTCAACATCATTGACCTTGAACGACCTGATGGCATTATTGTGCAGTTTGGTGGTCAAACTCCCTTGAAACTTGCACTACCTATTCAACAATATTTGGATGAGAACAAGCTTAAAAGTGCTAGTGGGGCAGGCCTAGTTCGTATTTGGGGAACATCGCCCGATGACATTGATGCAGCGGAAGATAGAAAAAGGTTCAACGCTATTTTAGATGAGTTGAAGATTGAGCAGCCGAAGGGGGGTATTGCAAAGAGTGAAGCTGATGCTCTCAAAATTACAGCTGATATTGGTTACCCTGTTGTTGTGAGGCCTTCCTACGTCCTTGGGGGTAGGGCTATGGAAATAGTATATAATGACGAAAAATTGATGACTTATCTTGAAAATGCTGTTGAGGTGGATCCAGAGCGACCTGTTCTCATTGACAAGTATCTCATTGATGCAGTTGAAATAGATGTCGACTGTTTAGCTGATTCATATGGTAATGTGGTAATTGGTGGGATTATGGAGCACATCGAGCAAGC